TTTTTTTTGTCTTTTTGAGACAGGGTCTCACTATGCAGTTCAGGCTGGCCTTGAGCTCACTTCGTAGCCCCGGCTGGTCTCGAACTTGTAAGGATCCTCCTGCCTCAGCCTCCCGAGTGCTGGGATTACAGACCTGCGCCAGCACGCCCGGCCCCTCTAACACCGTGTTGACAACAATGCTTAGTGCACACCTGTGCCCCCAGGAGGAGCACCTCGTGGGCACTGGTGAATGGAGGAGGGGAGGAGTGGGGGTGCCCCAGACAGCAGGCCTGGGAGGATAGGTCCGGGTGGGAACCCTGTTCCTACACCCGAGTAGTCCTCTCTCAGCCTCAGTTTCTCCTGCCCTGGCCCCCCAGGCTGAAGTGGGAGAAGTGGGAGCTTGCGGGGCAGGTGCAGCCAGTGGGTCCCCGGCTCCATGTTCTCCGAGGCAGACCCACAGCACCACGGTGACTGCGGCTCCTGTCCAGTGCCCCCACCCCGCGAAGTCCATGAACTTGCAAGGTCCCAGCTTTAGCTCTTCTGGGGACGCTGACACAGGTTTAACTGGGCCGTTTCAGATCTCACTCTATGGAAGGTTCTAGCGCCAAACCAGCTGGCACAGCCCCTGCATTGTGTACGAGTGAGGGAGCCCATGAATAATGCATGTGACACTGATTATGTAAATCCTCAGGTTTTCTTACATTTCCAGCCAGCACACCACAACGGGCTTTTTGGGGCCTTTGTTATCCTGTTTCATGGTTTGGTGTCTCTGCTTGGGGGCCTGGGCTGCCAAGCCCCAGAAAGCACCTCAGGAAGAAGTGGGCTCCCCAGAGGGCGCACCAAAGGACAAGTGAGACTTTGGTGCCACTGCAGCTCCCCCAACAGGACTCACGGCGAAAAGACCCTGTCCTCTGCCTGAGGCAGCCCTGAGACACACGCGTGCTGAGGCCTGTGATGTTTAATTCAGAGCTGCACGACTGAAAGGCCACGTCTGGGCCTCCCCCAACTCCCCGCAGGCTAGGTGCTTTCACTCTGGGGCTGCACTAGGGAGCCTGCTGTCTGGAGGTCTGCAGGGTGGGGCTGGGCTGGGCTGGGCTGCTGCGGGAGCTCACCCGAGAGTGCTTTCTGGATGGGGAGCTCCGTTCTATGGGGGTCTGGCTTCCTCAGAGATTGGGCAGGTGACACATGCACAGCTATACAAATATGCACAAACACAGTCACACATGTGAAATATGCATACAACCATACATGTGAAAACACACAGCCACACACATGGAAACATGCACACATACAGCCACACACATGCAAATATGTATACATACTGTTACACATGCAAACATGGACACATAGTAACACACATCCAAACATGCACATGCATAGTCACACGTGCAAACATGAATACACACAGTCACACACATCCATATATGCAATCACACACATGTACACAGCCATACATATGCAAACACACAGAAGCACACATGCATACAGCCACATATGTGCAAACATACACAGTCACATACATGCAAACATGCACACACAGCCATACATAAACATGAATATATAACACCCATGCAAACATGTACACATACAGTTACACACCTGCTGACACACACATATAGTCACTGCTACGACTTGTGTCTAGATGTCCCCCAAAGTCTCATGAAGTCATAGGTGAGGCTTTTTCAGAGGTGGCTGGATCTAGGGTGTGTGATGCCGGGATGCACCGTGATTCAAGGTCGCTAGGGGTGTGGGTGCTACCCACCATCAGTAACCTGGATAAGATGTAAGGGACAGAAGGATCTGTGGTCGCCCCTTGTTGCTTTGCTTCTTTCTGCCTGCCACGAACGGTTTCTCCTCTGCGATGCTACTCTGTCCTGGAGCCAGCAGATTATGGACTGAAACCTCTACAAATTATGAGATAAATAAACCTTTCCTCCTCTAACTTTGGGTGTCAGGTATTTTGTCTCAGCAATGAAAGAGAAAAATAACTAAGAGAGTCACACACACATAGACATGCACACATATAGAGTCACACATGAAAACACACACAGCCCCACACATGCAAACATTGATACAGCCACACATATAAACACACACCATCATACACATTCAAACATGCATACAGAGTTATGCACATGTAAACAGAGTCACATACATACAGATGTACACATGTGTCCGAACACACACGCCAGCAAACGCACACATCTCCAAAGTAAAAATAATCTAACAATTACAAGGGCGACTCTAGCAGCCAGCCCCGCAGACAGCACAGGGCTGGAGACATCTGGAGTCAGGCCCCGCCCCTACCTACCAGCTGCTGTGTGATCTCCGGCAAGTCTCTTTACTGTCGGAGGCTCACTTCCCTGTCTGTAAGGTAGGACTATTGCACCAGTCAGGCAGGGCCGGTAGCTGGATTAGTAAACCTGACCACTCCTGCAGAGGCTGGACACAGCTCTGGGTCCAGCTGTAGATAGTCATGAAGAGGTGGTGGCTGTGGTTGGTTATTGTCCTTGTTGGCCTGACCCCAGCCTTGAGATCTGCTCTACCTTAGGAAGAGTTAAAGCAAATGGAGTGCCTGATTCTACAGAAAAGTCATGGTTCTGGTGCTCAGCTGAGGGCTGGCCCAGAGCCATGCTTGTTGGAGTGCAGGAGTGGACGGATATAGGTACAACTGCAAAGGAGACAAAGAAGCCCCTCTGCTGACCAAGTTGCAGACACAGGCTTGCCAGGGAGCAGCTCAAACTGGTCGGGTGCTGGCCATGAGGGCCCAGCTGTGCAGGACTCTCTAGAGAGCCCATCTGCTGGCACTACACAATATGGGGAAGGGCGGTGTACACCCCCCAAATCCCAGGGGCTCCCCGGGTGTGCCCGAGACAGTGAAGGTGCACTTCACCACCTGAGACCAGCAGCTGCCAGGTCAGCCAGCCAGCGCAGGGTAGTGAGGGACACCGGCGCTGTTTAACCCTCTCACAACCCTGTGAGGCAGATGCTGATGGCTGCTGTTTACCACGCGGGGCAAGGCTCTGAGAGAACAGACTTGCACAAGGCCACACAATTAATAAGCGGAGGGATTTGAATCCAGGACTGACCCTTGTACCCTATGACAGATGGACACCACGATGAGGGAGCAGGGGACTTCTCTTGGCTGAACCACCTGCCCGAGTGTGGAATCTTGATTTCTCAAGCCAATGCCATTTGCAGCCCAGGCCTGGCAGCAGTGTCTCAAGCTCCGCCCATCCACCGGTCCGTTCATTGAGCTGCTGTCCATCTATCCATCCATCTATCCACCCACCAACCTGTCCTTCTGTCTGTCCTTCCATCCACCCATTTGCCAATTACTCATTAGGTGTCGACTATGTTTTGGGCACTCAGATGAGCGAACCCAAATCTCTGTTGTCAGAGAGCTTATTTGTCTATGCATTCTCAGCAGAATGATAAAAATATGAATAACTGCTACCATTTTAAAAATACAGATGAGCACTGAGTCTCAGAGAGGTTCAGAAATCTGCCTAAGGCCGCACAGTAAGTAGTTAGAGCCCTGCTCTAAACCTAGCTCTGTCTACTGTTAAGCTCTTCTGCAGCTCTCATTTGCATCAGAAAGTGCGCTGCCCGCCTGGACCCTCCCGGGACCTCCGCTGGTCCAGAGCAGCTGCGCCTACCTTCTGCTGCCTGGCGGCTCTGTTGAGCCTCTTCTCCTGCTGCAGCTGCTGCTCCGTGCGCTCCAGGGCCTCCTTCAGCAGCGCCTTCTCCTCGGCCTCCTTGTAGATGTCGTCCTCCAGTTTGGCCACCTGTGACTGGTACATCTGAACGGACACTTTGCTCTGCCTGGGTGCATGGAGAGATGGAGTCCCTTTTCCCCTCAGCATCCCCATCTGTCCACGTCCCATCCGTGGCTTCTGCAAGTACTTCCATGGGGGACGCACTGGGAGCTTCCTTACAAGGGGTGCCTGGGACAAGGATTTGTGGTGGTGCAGAGGGCAGAACACAGCTCGGGAACTAGACGTGGTCGCGTTGAGGGGCCCAGGATGTGCTATCAGCCCCGCTTGCGGTGGTGGTGGGACCTGTGACTCTTGGGAAAGTGATGGGACCATCAAAGCCACATTAGTGATGGGACCATCAAAGCCACATCCAGGATGATAACAGGTTCTGCACATTCAGAACACGCGGAGAGGGGGAGCAGAGCACTGCAATCGCTGTGTTCTCACAGACAGACTCACCCCATTGGGCCTAGTTGCTGTCTCCCCCAGTAGCTTAGTTATTCCACACCCAGGCTTTGCCCTCGCGTTCCAGCTCCAGGTGTCTGCCGCTGTCTCTGCTTAGCCAGGAGAGGGGGCCTGGCTTTCCAGGGGTTCCCAGGCCGTACCTGAGCTGCTCTATGTCCCGCTCGTAGCCCTGCAGAATCTCCTCTTTCCTCTGCAGCCGGCTCTTGAGCTGTGTGATCTTGTCAAACACCAGATCCAGGTCCCTCTGTCGCAGCTGGTTGATTCTCTCCCTGTCTTCGGGGGAGAGGTGCTTCATGGACACGTGGCCCGACATGTCCTTGATGTTCATGAGGCTCCCCAGCGTTCGGCTCATGTCCATGTACTGCAAGCACAGTGGTGAAGGGGATGGGAGTTGCCCCGGCCAGGGCGGGCTGCTTGAAGGCAGCTCACAGCTAATTCTGCTTCATTCATTGCCTACGACTGCAGAGAGCAAACAAGAGCTTTGGAAATGAGCGCAACTGGGCTGTTCATTTCCCCACATCCACTCGCACGAGTCTTTTTGAGAACCAGGGGGTAAATGACAGCAGATGTAAACACTCATTGTAACTACCCGGGGTTCTCCAGGAATCGGCTGTGCAATTTCTTTTCCTCTCTCTCTCTCTCTTTTCTTTTCTTTCTTTTTGGCTATGCAATTTCTGACCCATGCTGGTTAGTGGATGTGTCTGCAGTGTTAGTAGATCAATGAAATAGGTTACATGAGGTTATATTTAGTAAACTAGCCCATGGTTAACACTGACCGCAGGGAACCAGGCTTTGGGCAGGAGAGGGACAGATGCCCTGTGTACGTACCAGCTTTTCACTGAGCTCTAAGGCCTCGGCCACGTCTGCTCTCCCTGACTTCTCCATGGCAGAGAGGGACCCTGAGTTGGTAAAGCCATTCTGAGGTTGAAATAAAGAAGCAATCAGAACTCTCTCAGCGATCCATGATGAATTTCTGCAACCAAAAGCTAAAGCACTGTGGGATTACAGAGGAATAGTTCAATAGACTTGCTTGGTGTATTTTGGTTCCTGGCCACTCAGCCAGGATCCTTTGTCTACCTCTTTTTTTTCTAACTGGGTTCAAACGCTTCAGAGAATGGCCCTGCGATAATGTGTAGTTTGTCTCCTTTGATCACTGTCTGTCTTCCCTCCAGAGAAATGGTGCTCAGTAGGGCTGATTTTCATACCCTTCCCCTAGGACATTTACCAGTGTCTGGACATATTTTTGGATGTCACATCTGAGGATGGAGAGTGCTATGGCATCAAGTGGGCTGACGGCAAGGCTGCCACTAAACATCCCTCAGCCCCCAGGACAGATCCTCTTCCAAGCTGGGCAGGAATGATTTGGGCCTAGATCTCAACAGTGCTGAGGTCGTGGACCCTTCGCCTACATGACAAGCTCCACAGAGACAGGGCCAGTTCTGGCTTGTGTCTAGATGGCCCCCCCCAAAGCCTCATGTGGTCATAGGTGGGGCTGGAGCTGGAGTGTGTGATGCTGGGATGGATTCATGGGGCAATACTAGGCTCAGGGACACTAAGATTAAGGTTGTGAGGCTACCTGCCCTAAGTTGGCCGGATAAGCTATAAGGCATACAAAGAGCTGTGGTTGTCTCTTATTGCTTTACTACCCTCTGCCTGCCATGAACTGTTTCTCCTCTGCAATACCTGTTTGCCATCCACCCTGTGTTAGAGCCAGCTGAAGCCTCTACAAACTGTGAGCTAAATAAGCCTTTCCTCCCTTAACTTGTAGGTGTCAGGTATTTTGTCTCAGCAATGAGAAAAGTAACTAAGACAGGGACCGTGTTGCTGTCTCCTCACTACCCCACTGCTTGTGCCTGGTATGGCCACCTGGCACGGACAGACATGCTCACTGAATGAATGAATGAGTGAATGAATGAATAGTTACCTAGAAAACATTTCCTCTCGGGCTGGGGTGCAGCTCAGTGCAACAGTGCTTGCTTAGCATGCACATGGCCTTCAGTTCAATCCTCACCATGGCAAAAGCAAAAACAGACTAAAACCAAAACAAAACCAAAAAGCCCCAACCTTAAGAAAAATACCAAACACCCCTCTCCTTTTATTGGAGGAATCTTATTTTCATCAGAGGAAATGAGATCTTCACAAAGTGTGGGCAGATGTTCTTCAGGGGTTGGGGCCAGTGGGTGAGGCTCCACCTTTCCTGAGGTGACATGGGTGGCTGACAACTGTGGCTTGCCAGGAACCTCACCAGCACCAGCAGGCCACCATGTCACGCGGGAGTCTGGAGACCGCAAATGACAGCGGTAAGTCCCCTTGGAATCAAATTGGCTTTTCAGTGTGTGCCGTGAACGTAGAAACACCTGTGTCCACGGTGTCTGCTGGCACCCCTGAGTCCTCTGAGATTAGCAACAAAATACCCCAATTACAAAAATGTAGAAGCTTCTATGTGACTGAGATGGAGGTAAGGGTGGACATAATTTATCTCCGCCCAGAGTGGACATAGTTATCCAATCTGAGGAGTTTTGAGAGGACAATAAATGGAGCAAATGTGCTGAAGAAACAACCTGAAGAGCAGCTCGGTGTCTCCAGCCCCCTTGGCTGAGTCCTTGGCACCCCTTTCTGGGGCAAGCAGGGAATAAGAGGGCAGCTGGGAAGGACACAGCCCTGGCTCCACAGTCATCTTTGTGACCCTGAAGGGGGTATGTGACCTGCTGAAACCTTTGTTCTTCTCCTCTGTAAAGTGGGGATAATGACAATGACCATGATGCTGTTTAAATATGATAAGGCATAGGAAGGGCCTAGCTGAACACAGTAGGCATAAGTCTGCGTGGGCTCTTCTCCCACCTGCTCCAATCTTTGGATCTCAATTACCGCCGTCCGTGGAGGAGTGTGGGTTTTTAAAGAGAGTTGAAGGGGCTGAGGATTTAGCTCAGCGGCACAGTGCCTGTCTAGCAAGCACAAGATCATGAGTTCGATTCCCCGTACCGGAAAAAAAAAAAAGAGAGAGAGTTGGGTGGTTTCCTGCCATGCGGTGTCAGTGGTGGGATTAAGGGTTATCTTCAGGGTAAAGCTCTGTCTGGGAGGCTGGGTCAGGATATAAGCTCTAACTGGCCTCCTGCCTGGAGATCGTCCTCACATACCCGTGCTGGAAAATGAAGGTTTGCTTTTAACAAGAAATCCAGCTCATTTCCACAGACTTTCATCCTGGACTCTGGCAAATGTGCAGAGAAATTATTGGAGAGAATGTTGGCCTAGGCAGGCTGGCTTTGGTATTTCTTCTAGAAGCCTGTGTGCTTTAGGTCCAGCTACGAGCCAGGCATGCCCTTAACCCCAGAACTCTGGGAAACAGAAGAAGGAGAACCTCGAAGTTAAGCCCAGCCTGGCAATTTAGCAACTTAGGAAAACCTCATACCAAAATTAAAAAGGCTGGGGTTAAAGCTTACTGTGTAGGGTTAGGACTCAATCTCTAGTAATAAAAAATAAAATAAATAAAATAAAATAAAATAAAATGTAGATCCAGCAGCTGTGCTAGGCATCCACTCTGTGGATGCTGTCCATTGTCATGTATATCAAATGCCAAAACATCCACTGAGGGTACAACTTCACAATCAAACGACTTCCAACAAATCTGGCAAATAAAATCTGTGCCCCTTTAGGAAGGGAAGCTTTCCTTGAATAATACTCTTTTAATAATAATAATAATAGCAGCAGCAGCATTTATTAAGTGTGTGCTATGAGTCAGGCACTGGGCTAAGACCTTTACACAATTATCTCTAATATCTCTGTCATCATGTTACGACTGGCCAATGGAGTCCCAGAAAGATTAAGACCTTTGCCTGAGCTGAGGCCGCACGGCTTTCAGGCTGGAACTTACACACAGGTGTCCAAAGGTCCCTTTGGGCTCTAGAATTTGTGTCCTCTTAATTGTGGCCCCCCGCTGCTAATTTCTACTTGCTCATGTTTTCCTGTTTACAGTAAGGGGCGAACCTTAGCTATGGCATAATGTTGTAAATTAGCTGGCTGAACATTTTCTGTGGAATGTATCCCCTGCTGTGAAGATGCAGCCACCATGCTTTAGGGACTGTTCTGACCCAGTGTCCAGGTCACACCGCACCATGCTGTGCAGAGAGAGGGCCAGCCCTCCACGCAAACTTCTGGTACCTCTCCAGCTGCAGGTTCAGACCTCAGCCCCCGGGGAGGACCTGACCCAAACCGCTGATGCCCGATAAGCTGGGGCACATGGTTTGAGTTGTCTTAATGCCGCCCTCTTCGTGTCCCACACACCGCAGAGACAAATTTTCTTTGCTTACCGCTTGGATCTCTATTCTTGAGAGAGCTGGAAAATTGGGTTTTGTGTCCAATAACATTTTGGGGACATTTTTTTCCATTTTGAGAGTCTTTAATTCTAGAAGTGATTCATTCAGGTGGTCCTTAGGCTCTATAAAAGAAATCATTTAGACTCAGAAAGAAGTTATTTTATGTGATAATTGTAGCTACGATTTATGGGACACTTAACTGCAGGCCTATTTTAATCCTCACGGCCTCCCTGGGCAGATGGGGAAACTGAGGCCTAGGGAGATTCAGTGACTTGTCCTAAGCCACACAGCTAATGAGGCTGAGGCCACACAGGTGTTGGTGCAGAGGCCTTGAGGGTGAGCTGGCCTAGGCTGTCCAACCACTGAAACAAGGATGGGATTGGAACCAGGCTTCTGGGCCTCAGTCCAGTGTCCCCTGGCCCAGGGAGCTCCCAAACCCCTCTGAATGGGGGACTCTATGGGGCTCCTAACACTGACCCTTTGGCTGTGTTAGCCCATGACAGAGCTCCCACAGGGGCACAATGACATAAGAAAAAGGAGGCCAACAGGAGTGTTGCAGGATGTCCCGTTTATTTCATATCAAGCTCTGTGCTTGGCTGTGAGTCTTTCTGTGTCTCACAGCGTCCTTCTGATTATGAGGTAGCGGGGTGGAGGGAATGGAGGGGAGCAGTCCTGGTCAATTAGCCAGTCCCCAGAATGTGCCCCAGGCTCTGAGCCCCTCACTGGGACAGGGAGGAGGGGACTTACTGCAAGAGTTGGCCTTCTCCAGCTCTTTGATTCGCATGCGGAGCTCTGACAAGGCCTTTCTCTGACGCTGGATGACTTCCTCATGCCGGTGCCCTTTGCATTTGGCCCCGAGGTCACTGAAGGATTGCTCCTGGGGACAGAGGGCGTGCAGACAGCAGCTTAACTAGGGACCCGAATATCTTATATTCACAGGAATGGGAAGAATTCCTGTAGGGCAGAAGCCTTGTCGTTTAGCGCTTCTGGAAAATATCTTCAGCGTTTTGGCAGAGAAGGGGTTTAAAATTTTCATCACAAATATCAAATCCTATCTAGGCAGATTTCTGGCTTTCCCACCTAATTAGCATCACTATAAATAAAAGATCCCTCTATATTCCTTCTCCTTGATTTATGTTTTTCTTCTAATATTCTTCGATGCCTGGGTTTCCACTTGTTATTTTTCTAGTCTTGTTTTTGGAACAATTGTAGCATGTTCTGCTTTCTAGGTGGTCATCATCATCATCATCATCATCATCACTATTCGCAGTGTTGGAGGCAGAATCCAGGGCCTAAGCATGTGCTACTGAGCTACAGCCCCAGCCCCAGCCCCAGAGCAGCATTTTTAGATGCGAACACACGGTGTTTTCTTTGAAACTGGTTATACGGATGGCTTCTCCTATTTGTGGGGGGATTTGATACACTGGCTCCTGGCTGGTCTGCAGAGCTTCTCTGGAGGCTCCCATGGCCTCTAGCGCTGTGTATCCCGCAAGACTTTCTGCAATGACGGAAATGTTCTGTACCTGCATCGGCCAGTACGGTAGGCGCTGGCCACAGGTGGACGGACCCTAAGAGACAGCTGGGGGCCACAGCTGTGTGTACTCAGGGCACAGGCCAGGAAGGTCTTCTTCATCTTTAAAGTCATTCGTCTTTTTAAGATTTAGAAGATCCTCTGGACTGTTCCAGCAAAAAAAGGTAACTAACTGCTTTATCTCCTTTTGTGCTTATTTGGAAATTTTAGTTATAGTGTTTAACAAGCATGGATTAATACAGTTGGAATTTTTTTCTTAGGAAAAATTCATAAGCTGACTTCACTTAATCCATTACCCTTTATTTTATTGAAATGTATAATTAACTGAAGAAAAGATTCTTCCTGGGAGTATGTTGTCATAACAGTAAAGAAATTGCCCTTCATTTACATTACTGTTTTATGTTGATCTGCCTATTTCTGTATATTTGTCACAACAGTGCTTGCACCCTATTTGGTGTACTGAGCAAATAAACTTTTCATTTTACACAAACAAACAAAAAGATTTGGAAGAAGGCAGCGTTCTGTCCTTCGGAAAAGCTCCCCTACACAAAACATCAGCCTATGCTTCTAGAGACTCCATAGAGCTGAAGCATCATTTTCTAGGGAAAGCCATTCACTCACTCACTCATTCACTCACTCATTCATTCACTCATTCACTCACTCATTCATTCACTCATTCACTCACTCATTCATTCACACACTCATTCATTCACTCACTCATTCACTCACTCACTCATTCATTCCTTTACTCATTCACCACTCACCTATTCATTCACCCATTCACTCACTCATTCACTCACTCATTCACTCACCCATTCACTCACCCATTCACTCACTCACCCATTCACTCACTCACCCATTCACTCACTCACCCATTCACTCACTCACCCATTCAGTCATCATTCATTCATTCCACATAGATCTTTTTGAGGACCTCTAAATGCCAAACCTTAATCTGGGCTCTGGGGACTCAGCAGTGACTAAAACTGGCAGCCTCCCCGCTCACCATCATGGATTTCGTATCCCATTGTGGGGAGAAAGATGCTGGTGACGAGAGGTGGGGAAAATCCACGGTGGGCAGTGATAAGTGCCCCATGGGTAAGTGGGGGCAGGGAGGGAGGGACTGCTGGGGAGGTTATCAGTTGTAGATGAGCGGCCCTAACCCTCAGGAGGCTGGTGGGAAAGGGAAGAAGCTGACAATCTGGTTCTCGTATAACTATTTTTAAAGCAGCAATTTTGGTTCACTTCATGCTATTGATATAGATATGAAAGATAACATATATAGCATCAAGTGAACCGAACTTATTTTAAAAAATTATATAGAGGGCTGGGGATTTAGCTCAGCGGCACAGTGCCTGCCTAGCAAGCATAACGTCATGAGTTCAATTCCTGGTACTGGAAAAAAAAACAAATGAAAATTATATAGAGATCTCGCCTGTCTACCATCTATCTATTTCCTTATCTAGATATGAGTATGTCCATCCATCATCTGCCCATCACCCACCTATCTGACCCTGTCTGTCTGTCTGTCTCGCCTATGGACTGCACATCTGGCACTGTTCTGGGCAGCAGGGGGAGGCTGGGAACCTCAGAGCAGCCCTGCGGCCGCGGAGTCCCTTCCTGGGGCAGACAGGTGAGGGCGGACGGCACTTGCTCCCTCTCGGGCTGGAGTGCTGAGCTGCTCCTCATGCGTCCAGGCTCACTGCAGGCCTCTATGACAGTAGCCCCAGTCCTGGGCTTCTTTTGGGTCTTGGGCTCCTTTAAGGGGCTGGGCAGTGCCGTGTGAGCCCCTCCTGCCACTTTCTCCCTCGCTTCCGCACCCCCACCGGACATTCTGCTCCCTGCTAACTGGTTTCTGTCTCTCCCCTCCCAGGACACTGGCTCCATGGTGACTGGTATTCCTGAGGCTGAGCATAATAGGTGCTCCACACATACGAAGCTGGGATGCCCTGAGGTCAGGCGGGTGCCACGAAGAGCTTGCCCCAGCTTCTGACTGGACCCCGGAGGTGAGAGGGGGTCACTCGGCCCGCCGCGGGGTCTTGCTTGTGCTGCGACCCTGGCTCCAGCCTGTACCAGACCGCACACTGGTGCCCTTCCCAGGCCCGGTTCCCCACTGCCCGGCTCACTGACGGTAGGCTGTGTTTCCATGCAGCACTCTCTGTCTCTCTGCATAAGGAGGGCAGGAGGCTCTGAACCTGGGGGATGGAGAGGGGGACGACACACAGCAGCCAGGAGACTCAGTGACTCCGCTGAAGCATAAGCCGGGACCACGTGACCCTCCTCACAGCTCCTCTGGGAACTTGCTTATTTAGGGGTAGAGATTCTTTCTCATACAACTCGGAAGGCCTCTGACCCACTCTGGCTTAGAAAGCAGGAAGTGGCCTGGTGATGACAGTCATTCCAAGAAAGAACAAATACTCTTTCCTTTTATCTTGCAGTTTCCCTCCCCCATCCTCCTGAAGGAATCCAGCCTCATAATAGAAACTGAAAATGACAGGGGTTCCGGCCCCACAGTCCTGTCCTATAAACGTGTGCAGAGCCTGGAGGAGTTCGATGAGGGCAGAGACCCATGCAGATTTCCCCATCCGGGTCTGGCATACGGCAAGTGCTTAATAGTTACTGAACATGTGAAGGAATGTGCGCCAGGATTCCAACACGAGTGACTCATGCACCCTCCCCCAGAGAGCTGCTGGGCCACCAAGACCTGATACAGGCTTCATCCCCAGTTGCCCTGGCAACAGGAGCCACTCCTTCCAGAGTGCTCTGGACAGCAATCAGGGCCAGGGACAGCTGGCCGGACCTCGGGCGCTTTCATCCAGGCTGCCCACGGCCTGGCTCACTGCTGCCTGGCACGGAAACATCTCTGCTGACACATTTGGCCCTGTTTCCAAGTAGAGTCCAGGGCCTCTTACCGGAATGCCTGCTTTCTGGTTTCATAAAGCCAAGGGGACAGGATATCCTGGACTCCAGGAAGCTGGGACCTCGAGGAACCCCTACACCCCACAATCAGCCTATTCACAGCAGCAGGCACAGGGACACTGTGAGTGCCAGTGCAGAGGACTGCCTGATGCAGGCTGCGGTCACTCTAAGACACACTCCCCGCTGGGTACATGACTGGGACTCCTGGGCTGCAAAGGATTCTGGGCAGGCACACACAGAGAGAGACAAGAGTCATGGGGCATTCATTGCGTGGCTCTTTGGGAAGGCCATCTGGGCCTATGAAGCAATTTAGGAAGTCCTTCGGACCCAGCAATTTCACATCTAGCAAAGCACACCATCTACAGCACTGTGCTGGAGAAACAGCCTAAGTGTCCATCACCTGGGGACCAGCTGGATAAAGGGGGACAAGAGGAATGCTACATGGCCACTTAAAAAAACAAGGCAACAGGGTACAAAATCAACATCAATAAAATCAATAAATTTCCTCTACATCGACAATGAACCAGCTGGGAAAGAAATCAGGAAAATAATTCCATTCATGGTCACTTGTCTTCCCCAAACAAAACAAAGCAACAGAAACAATGACATAAAACCCAAACCGGAGGAATCATCTTAACCAAGGAGGTAAAAGACCACTACAATAAAAATCACAGAACACTGAAGAAAGAAACTGAAAAAGAAACCAGGAGATAGAAAGCCCTCCCACCTTCATAGATCAGCAGAATTAATATCGGTAAAGTGGCCATTTTGCAAAAAGTGTTCTACAGATTCAATGACATCTTCATCAAAATTCCAATGACAGCTGTCTAGGAAAAACAATCTTAAAGTTCATATGGAAGCACAAGAGACACAGAATAGCCAAAGCACTTCCAAACGCAAAGAGCAAGGCTGGAGATATCACAATACCCGATTTCAAATTATATTACAAAGCCACTGTACCAACAACAAAAAACTGCATGGTACTGGCACAAAATAGACACCTAGACCAATGGAACAGAACAGAAGACATGGAAACAAACTCACGCAACCACAACCATCTGATTCCAGACAGAGGAGCCAAAAATACAAGCTGAAGAAAGACAGGCTCTTTCACAAATGGTGCTGGGGACCCTGGGGACCCTGTATGCACAAGCCTGAAACAAGACATCTCTCACTCTGTACAAAAGTCAAATCAAAATGGTTCAAGGGCCTAGGTATAAAATAAGAAATGTTGAAAGAAGAAGAAACTTTGAGGTTGAAGAAAACATAGTGGAAATGTTTGGGGTCACAGACACTGGCAAAGACTTCCTGAATAGGATTCTAATGGCACAGGGACTAATAGGGAGAATCAGCAAATGTGAACACATCTAATTAAAGCTTCTGCACAGCAAGGGAAACAACTACCAGAGGACAGAGACAATCTACGGAATGGGAGAAAACTTTTGCCATCTGGTTCTCTGACACGATTAACACTTAGAGGATTAACACTTAGAATAAAGACCTCAAAAAGAAGAGAAATAGCCCAGTTCTTAAATGGGCAAACAAATTGAATAGACAGTTTTCAAAAGAAGTACAAATAGCCAATAAGTACATGGAAAAAGTGCTCAACATTTTTAAAACCATTAGGGAAATGTAAATCAAAACTCCCTGAGATCCTATCTTACCCAGTCAGAATGGCTGATATCAAGAATGCCAAAAACACAATGGTGGAGATTCGGGGAGAAAAGAACCCTTCTCCGCTGCTGGTGGGAATGTAAATTTGTACAGTCACTGTGGAGATCAGCATGGAGGCTCTTCATAAAACTAAAAAGACAGCTGCCATATGACCCAGCTATACCACTCCCTGGTATATACCTGGAACAATTAAAGTCAGCACATGACAGGGATGCCTGCATACTCATGTTTCCTTCGGCACAGTTCACAACAGCCTAGGAGCCCATCAACAGATGAATGGGTAAGGAAGTGTGGCATATGTACACAATGGAGTCTGTCAAGAATGAAATCACTTCACTGGTAGAAAAATGGATGGAACTAGGGCACTCACATTAAGTGAAATAAGCCAGGCTCAGAAAGACAAGTACAAGTTTTCCTTAATGTTAGGAATCTAGAAGAAAACCCCCCAAACAAAACAAAAGATGGAATAAAAACAGAAGGGGCATTACTATTAGGCAAAAGAAAAGGGACAAGGGGAAGGAGAGAGGGTCTCAAGGGGGACAGTGGGGGGATGGATGCATATGTATAAAAATAGCACACTGAAACACAGTATTTTATAAAATCAATAGGCACTAATAAAAATGTTCAAAAGAATGAGGTAGAACTTTATCCATGTACTTGAAAAGATGACTATTATATGAAAATAAGCAAAATGCAGAATATCCGTGGTTTGATACTGCTAGTGGAAAATTATTTACTAAATCAATATATGAATGTACAGGCATGTGTGTTTGTTCATACATGTATATAAATAAAATCTACTTCACCACCCCGTGAAGTGAGGACTGTCAATGCTCTCAGATGAGGGAACTGGCACAGAGTGACCTCACTAGGGCACAAAGCTGGTGAGTGGATGGGCTGGGATTTGAACCTGGGAGGCTGGGTTGGAGCCTGAGCTGAGAGGGCACTCATATGGCAGCCTCTGTGAGCGAAGATCCCAGGGAACCTGCTTCCTGCTGTTGAAGGTGTAACCTCTGGAAGCTGCAACTGGGGAGGCAGGAGTTTGTGTTTCATTTTATCCATTGCAAATAGGCAAGCAGTACTTGGAACTTAGAATAAAAATATTTTCAAAAGAAAATAAAGCCACCATTGGGTCCTTGGTATTGGGTCCTTCGGGAGCCCAGGGTTGGAGGGGCCTCACCTCTTGGCTGCTTGAGGAAACATCCAGGTGGACTGGGTCTATCTGCACCGAGATGTCACACTTCTGGGTGGGAGTCCTCAGCTTATGCTCCTTCTCCGAGCTCAGATGGTGCTTGTGTTTCTCTTGGTAAGTCCTAGGGCAGAGAGGGGGCGTCACCGCGCAGCAGCCTGGTATGCGGTTCAAGTCTTTTTGTGTCCTTGGCAGACCAGGAAATGAACTCTATTTTGCCAAGTGCCTGAGCTCCTTGGGACCCCACGTTTCCCACCCCCAGGTTTCTAGGGATTCTAGCGTCAGGGGACTCACAGGGTCGTGGCCGCACACCTTTCCTTGCCCCCTACCCTGGGTCGGTGCACACCTGAGGCGTTGCTGGGACACGCACTGCACGTCTGCCACATGTAACACCTTCTGCTGTCACCCTCACCTCCTGAGCTGGACAAGCACAGAGCGCACACGAATTTGCCCAAAACCTGGCAGCCAGGATCCGGACCCTGTTCCTTTACCTGTGTGGCCCTGCCCTGACCAGGAGGTGCAGCAGGATGCCACAGGAGACTCGCAAAACACTGATTTCCTTCAATATTTTTTGGGAAAAACACTACTCGTATTAAATACGGATGGAAGTGGAGACCCGTTTTGTAGTAAGACCCATCTATGGGGCAGTGACGGTATTTTGTATTTATCTGAAGCTGACACCTCTGGTTTACTCATTTGCTCAATGAATACTAAGTTCCCTCTTGCGCCAGGTACAGCGTGAACGCCGCGAAGTCAACAGTGGGCAAGGTCTCTAGAGACCTGGGCCCTGGGCAGGCAGACAGGTGCACAGGGCCCGGAGCCTCGCAGGCTGGGCATCGCGGGAGCGCCTGGCTGTGTTTGGTGAGGGTGAGTGGGGGAGGAGGGTCGCTGGAGGAGGTGGCGTGTACGCTGAGACCCGTCATCAGGGTAGCAGGCAGGGATGTTCGTCTGAGAAACAGAACTAAGCACAGCTCAGGTCTGGTGAGGCTGGGAAGCAATAAAACACACCATTCATTTACTCGTGGCAAGCGGCGTTTACTGAGCCCTCCCTGGCCGTTCCGGGCCCCCGGGGCTCCCCCACCTAAGAGCTTCCTTGCAGGCCTTCAGCTCCTTGTCCTTTCTCTCCGCTTGGCTGCTCATCTGTGCCATTTTCGCCTTGAGCGCGTTCAGCTCGCCGTTCTGCTGCTCGACCAGGGCCACCTGCCGCTCCAGCTCTACCTTTTGCTTCTCGTTCAGCTCCCCTGGGGGCCACGGGGAAGCCGGTTGGTGAAGGGTGTCCGACCTTGGATCTCTGCTAGGGCCACAGCTGATCCGCCTGGCACACGAGGAGCCCGAGAGGGGCTGTGCCCCGGGATCCTCAGGGCCTTCACTACTGCCCAGGAGCTCTGTGTGCTCCTGCGCCATGACAGCAATGGCATACTGCCTTACGCTCTGTTCCCCTGCCTCACCCCAGTGGATGCCGTCAGGGCCTCACTGATGTCCTCTAGCCGTTGAGGGCACCCTGGCCAACATCCATAGCCCACTTCTGGGTCTTTTTAGCCAAGGGTGTTCTCAGATCCTGGTGTATACACCAGGTTCCAGGCTCTGAGAACACCCAGGTGGCACCCTGCAACCTCCCTCCAAGGAAGTCGTAGCCTCTGAGGTGAAAGAAAATGCTCCACAAAGAAACAAGCTGGACTTCAGGGCGGAGGCTGGGGTCCTCCGCACGCAGCGGCTGGGGCCCTTGCGGTTGGTGGGCGGGAGCCGGGGCCACACCTGTGTTGCACCTGGATTACAGGTAGCGTGGGTACACTGGTGAGCAGGACAGCAGGCCGCTGGCTCTGTGGCTCCTGTCCTTCCTTCCTCCAGGGGGGGACACAGGAACCAGAACCTACCTCTCAAGTCTGTCATCCGGCCGTGGGCTGCATTCAGGTCCTGCCTCAACCTCATGATGATCTCCTGCTGAGACAGAATCTCCTTCTGCGCCACCAGGAGGTCGTCTCTGAAATTCCCAAGAACAGGCCCTGTGGATCCACGCAACCCAATCCCAACCTCCACACTGTCTCCCGGGGGCCGTGAGGGGAGGGTTCAGGTACAAGGACAGAGTGACGGGCAGTCTTAGTCTGTGGGATCCCAGCCCTGGCCAGGGGACAAGACAGTCTTTAAATATTCTAAAAAAAAACCTCATGGGGATGTACCTTCATTTAAAAAACACCCTGAGTGCTGGGAGTATAGCTCAGTGCCATGCACAAGGACCTGGGTTCAATCTCAAGCACAGCAAAAACCAAACAAAAAACCTATTTGAAGTAGAAAAAAGGAGCTGCCTGGGTTGGGCCTGAAGCTGGGTGGGGGGCTGGCATGGGGTGCAGCGCACCCATCCGCAGGATTGGGCCATTGTGGGTCCTGGGTTTGGCAGAAGGACAGAAGACTACTGGAGGGGGGATTCCAGGAATTCTCCGAGGACAGGGAAGGAGAGAGAGGAGGACGACGTGGTTTTTGTTTTCTCAGCAGCTTGGTGTTACTGAGAGGGCAGCATGCCCTGCCCTATGCTCCAGAGCTCAGAGGACACCTTCAGCACTGTGGGCCCAGGACACCGACCCGGAGGGAGGAGACCATGCCCTGCAGTGATGGCGGAGGGAGGGCTGGGCGCGGATTCAGCGGGCAGGATGGGGAGATGTGCTTCTGAGCAGGTGTGAGACACTCAGCCCCAGGAAGGGAGTTTTATTTTTGTGTCGGTGTTGGTCCCGTAGGAGGAGGAGGAGCTGTGGTCTTGCCTGCTGGGAAGGTGCTGAGAGGCTTGGTTGATGGGCACGTTCTCAGGGCCGGGTCATAGGAGTTCACAGGCCAAGGGGAGCTGGGGTGTTCTCAGAGGGGCTTCTGAAGGTAGAGTGTGTGTTTATTATGAAAGGATGCAAAACCCTGGTAGGTTGCATGTGAAAGAAAAAGCCTGGTGATCACTGGAATGAAGTAACTACATATACATCTCCTGCACATGTCTGTCTGTCTGTCTGTCTGTCTTTGACTGTAACTGTAACTCTCCCAACTGGAGGAGGATGTTCAGGCCTCAGGGGTGACCCTGCACGACCGCAGTGACCGGACAGCACAAAGTGGCTGTCGATTCCTCTCCCGGCCACCCACGTCTGCTGCGGCCCTTAGTTCTAAGGAGAGGAACCGGCAGCTGAAATGCGGAGGTGGGGTGTCTCTGCCTTCCTGGGGCGAGAGTCCCGTGACTGTGGACGTTGGTAATGGGAGTTCAATGCACAGGTTGGGCTGGTGGTTCATCATCTTGGGGTAAATTCCCGAAAGTGTCCTCTGCCTCATCCTAGAGCACCTTGCTCTTGTGCTGCCCTGAGGAGCTGTTGGGATTTTTCCCATCCAGGGTTCTGTGTCCCCAAGCATCATCAGTTCTTGAGGCTGAAGTTACAGACTCATTAGCTGAGGCTGGAGTTGGGAGAGGCGAGGCCGTTAGCTAAGGTCACCTGGCCCAACCTTCACTCTCAACCTACCACAGGGCCCACCCCACTATGAGGCTTCCACTGGCTGAGACCTATAGGTTGTACTTAGACATTAGGCAGGGGTTTCCCTCTAGCAGGTCTCAGGGAAACAGCTAAAATGGATTTAACCTGCACCTACCAAGCGCCAGGCAAGGACGTGGTGTGATTAAAAACTATGGTGAATGTTTCCATTAAAATGAAAAAATAAATATAGTGTGGTGAAAGAAATATTGCTGTGACTCTCCCTCACAATATGCCCTTTTGTTTTCAACACATGTATCCCACCATTCCTGCCACTTTCTGAGGCAGTTCTGGAAGTCCTCTTTCATGAGTGTCTTTTCATGACTGCCTTGATGTCCTGAATTGATTCAAAACTTCTGTTAAATAAAGACATTGCAGTGGGTCCCCACCCATCTTATTTACTGGACCTGGCACTATGTGACTTCCGGCGCTTCCCCTAAAGTGAAAATGACTATGAAGGGTAAGCATTCTGAAACCATTTAGGACTTTGAGGCAGCCGTGACAAGGAAAGACACTGATGAAAGAAGACTTCAGAACTGCTTCAGGAAGTGGCAAGAACAATGGGCTAAGTGTGTGCAAAGGGAGAGGGCGTATTCTGAAGGGGATAAATAGTAATGTGTCATGAACTGTACACATTTTTTTTTTTTTTGGTTTTTCTCCAGTACCGGGAACCGAACTCATGACCTTGCACTTGCCAGGCAGGCGCTTTGTCACTGAGCTAAATCCCCAGCCCCTGTACACATTTTTTAAAGATTAAAAATTCACTGTATTTTCAATCACCTCTCACACATCCTTCTTTTGCAAATGAGGAGCCAAGGCTCAGCAAAGCCACCTGACCCATCCAGGTCACACGACTAGTAGCTGTTGTGTTGGGCTCCGAGGACAGACCTACTGGGATCCTTCCACACCGCCCTGCCTTGCTTATGGAATTGAGAAGTTAGATGACATTGGGAACACTCCACACTCAACTTCTTTTCTCAGGTTCTGACCATATGGCCAGATGTGGGGGTTTGTTCTTGCCCCTGGGCACCAGGGGGGACCACAGGACACCCACCCCCGCAGGCACTCACATCAAGTGGTCACACGCCGTCTCTTTGGCATTGCCGTCGGAGGGCGGGGCCGCTGGAGGCTTCGGTGGCGGCTCCTCCTTTTGAGCTGAACCAGAGGGACACACAGACATCAGTACGGTCCTCGCCTCGCGCTGTGGCGCCACCCAGCCCCTCCGCGGTGGAACACGCCTGTGTCTCACAACTCAGAAGCCGTTCCTGCGGGCTGCAGCCCTCCTGTTCCCGAGACCCGCCCTGTGCCCTGCGTGCAGGCTGGGGCTCTTTCCAGGAAAGAGGCTGCTGTAGTTTGAGCTTGGTTTGTCCCCTCCGAAAACCCGCGGTGACATTTAATCCCACTTGAGAGCGCCTACGGAGGGGGGGACTTCACCTCACTGTGGTGTTCTGAGGTGGGGCTGTGGGAAGGGTTAGGGTTGAGCAGGGTCAGCGGGGCACGGCCCCCAGCATGGGCACTGGTGCTTTTACAAACAGAGGCGAAGCCTGGGATGCATGGGCACACTCCTCGTCACTTGTCACGTGATACCCCAGCCACTACCGGCGGTGGCCCCTCCACCCTGGACTGGAACCATGAGCTGAAATAAACTTCTTCTCCTTCTCCCTTACCTAGGTGGTGGGGTTCGGATGGCAGCAACAGAGCATGGACCAATTCATACAGAGGCCGTGGAGTGTCCCCAGCCACCCTCGGCAGTAGGCCACACCACCTGCCCTTCTTTCTCCTTTCTAAGTCTCAAATGAACCCAAGTTCCGTATCTTCCTGTCCCCATGGCCCACTTTCTCCTCAGCCCACTGCCTCTGGTTTGCCCCCTCTCTTATTTGTTTATTCATTCAACAAACACATGTGCAATGCTTGCTGCACAGTAGACACTGATCCAAGTCGGGAGGTGACAAAGACACTGTCTCGCTCGAGGCCCCCGTTTGAACACCCTCCCTTCGACCTGGACTCTGGCTTAGGAAACTGAGCCCTGCTCCGCATCCTCGCCAAGGGGGCCCTGCCATCCTGGGTGACCTGTTAGTGTAGTGATTTAGATCACTGCCAGGACAATAACTGCTTTGCCCATCAGTAAGTTCCCAGTATCCACGTGAGGCGGGGGCATAGCAGACACTTTGAAGCTGCCAACCAGAGCTAGGACTGGGCTGCCCGGCCAGAGGGACATTCAGCAATGCGGGGACAGTCGGCAGTTATGGGACGTAGTGGGCAGAGGCCAGGGCTGCTGCTAGGCACCGTACAGTGACCGGGACAGCTCCCCTGTACCCCCAGAAAAGACTTAGCCAATCCCAGCGTCAGTAGCGCCACGGCTGAGAACCTGGGCCTGGGCCTGGAACCCGCCAGGGCTCTTCTGGAGGGCTTAGCACCTGCAGTGCGTGACCTTGCTCATTCAGGGCAAATCAGTGACACACGTCTGAGTTCTTGTTCTTTGGCCTGTTCTGGGCTTGCGTTGTCAGAGGCCAGCCTGGCTGTGTATCGAAGTGCAAATGGCCAGCGGCATGCAGGGCCTTTGAAAGGCCCCTTCCTGGCCGCTTTCTGTGGAAAAGGCAGCTGCCCGTGCGTCTCACTGGATCCACACAAAAGACCTCTCCAGCCATTGTCATTACTGCTGTCCAGCCTGGGCCTCCGAGCGCTTCTCACATTGTGTGTACCGAGGAGCAAAGAGGCTCCGGAGGATGAGGGCGCTTTTGGACAAGCTCTAGTCTTTCTCTCATTAGCCAGCCTGGGGCGCCCCGGGCACCATCAGAGGCTGCCCTGACACCAGCGCGACCTTCCGGCCTACCTGGGTCACTGTCCTTCAAAGTTGCGATCTCGCCTTCTATTTTCTTATGGTGCTGGGCCACTTTCTGGAGCCTTTCCTCTAGACTCACAATCGTCTGGGAATGCTGCTTGATTTGCTCCTTATATTCCATGATTTCCTCTTCGAATCCGTGCTTCTGGGATTCCCGTTCCTCCTGGAGGGACTTTACTGTCTGCTGTTGCAGCATGAGCCGCTCCTCTGTCAGGATCTGGGAAAACACAGCCATGCTTGTGAGATTTTGGGAGCTGACAGGGTGATAACAGCAGTGGCCGATCCTGTGCGCATGCAGGTGCTAAACTGGGGCCTGCCTCAGGGCCTTTGCGCATGCTGTTCCCTTGGCCTGGCAAACCTAGCTCCTTCTCTGGTGACCCCTTCTCAGCTTTCAGGTCTCAGATCCAATGTCCTCTCCTTAAAGAGAACCCCCGACCTGTCTACAGAGCATCACAATGCTTTTGTTTCTGCACATTTCACTCGCACTAGAATCTCAACTCCATGGTGGCAGAAACATGCTTCTCATTTCCTGCAGTGTGTGCAGCGTTTAGGCCTAGACGTTTGATCAGTAGTATGAACAAATGAATGAACGAATGAACAGTGCATAAGGGGAAAGCAGGTGGATTTGTATTTCTTAAAAACAAAACCCCCCAGTGACCCCAAGTGGACCATCGGCCCCGCCCCATGACCACACACTGCCTTAACCTGTGGCATAGTCACTGGACACCAAATTCCGGGGCTCCCCAGTCCTTGACCCTGACTGTGAGTCTCCTGCGATGCTGTTCAGAATGGCTTGGAAGGGGCAGCACAAGGCCCAGGGGCCTTTCATGCTAAGCCAGTGTCACTCAACAGGGGGCAATGTTGCCTCTAAGGGACATCTGGCAAAGGCTGAGGGCATTTTTGGCCATCGCCACGGGGTGGGGGTGGGGGTGGGGGAGACGCACTGGCATCTAGCGGTGTTGACCAGGGAGCTGCCGGCCGCCCTGCAGGGCACAGGAAGAGTCACCCGCCCGGGTGTCTGCCATCGAGCAGGCCTGGTGCAGGCCACGTGATCGTGGGACACTGAGGTGGCGGGGAATCCTCCCGTCCCGCGATGGCACCAACTTACCATTTTTGTCTTGGTGGTTTCCAGTTCGGCTAAAGTTTCGTTTAATTTCAGGGCGAGGTTCTCGGCTTTTCGACTTTCTGCCGTCTTCGCTTGCTGCGTCTGTTCTACCCGGGCCAGTGCGTCATTTAATTTATTATTTAAATCGTCCTCTCTCTGCCCTTTCAATTCGATCTCCTGGACAAACAAGCATCAAAGTAACAACCAGGATTAAATATTTACCCTTGCCTACTCGTCTGTACCCCCCTTGCCTTCAGAGGCTGTAAACTCCACTGCCTGCCTCCTTTCCGAGAATGTCTGGAAGGTTCCAATTAGTAGAGAACACTTGTTATATTCAGCCTCAATCTGTCTCCTTGTGATTTCTGGTCTCTGAGCTTGGTTCTATCACCTGGGGCTCACTGAGTGCATCTTATTTCTCTTTTATGAGACAGCCCTTTAAATATTTGAGGAGAGCTGTTGCGTCTCTCTCTAAATCTATTCTCCAGGATACATGTGCCGACTTCCTCTAACCTTCACCAGATGGCCTGCCCTGGGGACGCTCCTGCTTCCCTCCCGGCCCTCAAGGGCATGGCCAGACTAGAACCAGCGTCATGACATCAGCACATCCTGCCTGCTTCCTGGATCCCCTTCATCCCATCTTTGATTGTCAAAGCCATACTCTCCTCCTTGATTTGCTCCTCAAATAACGTGGAACTTGGGCTTCATGACAGCATGTGCTGGCGTTTCCAAATGTCACTTAATTCAGCTGACGACGTAGGGCCGGGCGCTCTCAGACTGTTGGTGGCGGCGTGAGTAGGGATGATGCTCAGGATGGCCATTTATGTACCTTGAGTCTGAAAATGTTCATATTCTAGGACCCGGCAGGTCCACATTTGGGAATTTATCTTCAGACGTGAAGCCTGAAGCCCAGGCATCTTTTACACCCATGGAAAATGAGGAAGAGCCCCAGGCCTTGGCATGGGGAGGGGGAATAAATGGGGGTCCATATAACAACACAGCGGAGAGTCAGGCCATCGGTCAAGGGCAAGCTGAGCAAGACTATTTGGTGACCCAGAGCCATCCGAAAAATGTATCATGTAGAAAACCAGCGTCTAAGCCCAGCGCACAGTATCACAGCCTACATCACTGACTGTAGTAAATCGACGTGCACCAAGGTCAATAATGCCCGACATAAAGGCGCTCTCAAAGGAGTCACCAAAATGTCACTTGTGACAGTGCGGCTCTGTGGAACCGTGGGTCTTATGTTTTTCTGAGTGATTTTCTGTACTTTTCAAATGTTCTGCAATGACAAGAGCTCATCTTGGTGTCAGAAAAGAAAAGTGATACTTTTTTGGAGAAAGTGCAAGTATCACCTTCACCGTGCTGTTTCTGGGCCTCGCCTGAGGTCCCCTTGTCCTTTCTCGGCCTGCTTTTTGAGGTCTTAATATTGCTAAGCAGGACAACGGGCACCCATCCTGAGGTCTCTGCTGCTGCTCAGACACCCCGGGTGGCCCAGAGTCACCCTGCCTGGGGCAGAACCCACTGCCAGGCACCTTTGCTCTTGTGGCAACTCTACAGCTTGCCCAGGGTGGGACACCAGCGCTCCCTGTCCCATCAAAGGTCTAAATTCCTTTTTCTTCTCCACTCTCTTTTTCCTATTTTGCCCTATAGATGAAATCAGCCTTTCCAGGGCTCACAAGCAAGCTACTCTTCATCTGAATGGTTGTTCTGTTATATGCTTGTAATTTCAAACTTGGTAAGTATACTTACTATATAAATTAAACCAGGAGGGTCTAGAGTTCACACCCTAAATGCAGATATAAAATCAGAATTTAGCAGTGGGATTCAGAGTCTCACACCAGCCCATATCCTATAATTTTTACTTTCTAAAAAATTTTTTTTGTAAATAGTGTTTAAAAAATTTTAATTCAGAGAAACAAGTTGTTAAAGATGATCACAACTTTAATTATCAAAACATACTTCAAACAAATATGCCCACAAATTTAGGAATGGAATAAAAGAACATGTTTCAAAATGAAATTATTTTTGGTCTCTCTCTATTGAATTATTTTATATATAAAGTTTTGGTAAATATCCATTTTGGAGCATAGAAAATGCTTTTCAAATATGTTTAGTAACAGAAAATAGTCAACCATCTCATTTAAAAATTTCTCAGTGTTTTATTGGAGATTTGCTCGAAACTTCAGACTATTTTGTTTCCAATTTAAGTATTAATTTATAACATTTTTCACTGCAAATTAACAAAATATATATTTTGGGGGAGTGAAAAATGATGCTATGAATACAAGGCAGAGTAATTCAATGAAGCGATCTCACCTCAAGAGCTTATATTTTGCTGTGGGAACATTCCAGACATATTCTCAGTCATCTTGCAATGTACAATACACTAGTATTTATTATATTTACTACACTGTGCATAGATCTAAGAAAAACCCAAATCCAACCCATTCCTCTAGGAGTCCCTTTGATCACATCACCCCACCCACTCAACCCCAGCCTCTGTGACCATGATTCTATTCTCCTTTCCTGTGAATTCAATTGTTTTAGATCCCACACAAAGTGACAACGTTCAGTCCCTTGTCTTTCTGTGCTTGGCTCATTTCACTTAGCCTCATGTGCTCCAATTCCATCCCCATGTCACAAATTGCAGGATTTCTTTCTTTTTTAGGGCTGAATAGTATTCCACCTTGTATATCTACCACATCTTCTTAATCTCTGTGGCTACTGATGGACACGAAGGCTGATTCCACACTCTGGGCATTGTGCACAGTGCTGCAGTGAATATTGGGGTGCAGATATCTCTTGAACAAACTCACTTTAAATCTTTTCAATAAATGTTCAAAAGAGGGACTGCTGGGTGATCTGGCAATAATAATATTTTCAGTTCTCTGTGGAAGCGCCATATAGTTTTCCACAGTGGCTGTACTAATTTACATTCCCATTGACAGTGTGGTGCCTTTTCTCCACATCCTTGTCAGCTCGAATTTTTTTTTTTTTTTCTGATAATAGCCATTCTGACAAGAGGAGGGTCAGAGCTCACTATGAATTTGCATTTCCCTAAGGACGGGTGATGTTGAGCATTTTTCATCTATCTGTCAACCCTTTGTTCGTTCTCTTTTGAAAAATGTGTGTTCAGGTCCCCCATCCATTTTCTCATTGGATTATTTGTATGGAGTTGAGTTCCTTATGTATTTTGGATCTTAATCACTTATCAGAGTCTACACGTTTCCCTCCCAATCCATGGCTGTTTCTCTGTTTTATTCATAGCTTTCTTTATTACACAAAAACCTTTTAATTTTGATGAAATCTCATTGGCCTATTTTTGATGCTGTTGCCTGTGATTTTAGAGTCAAATTTAAAAAGTCATTGTCCTGGTCTGGTGTGGTGGTGCACACCTGTAATCCCAGCAACTGGGAGGCTGAGGCAGGAGGATTGCTGTGCGTTTGAGACCAGCCTGGGCTACAAAGTGAGCTCAAGGTCAGCCTGAACTGCAGAGTGAGACCCTGTCTCAAAAAGACAAAAAAAAAAAGTCACTGTCCTGATTGAAGTCACGTGGTTTTTCCTGAGGGTTCCTTTGACCTTGTATTTCCTTGGTGAACAGTGAGTTCTTAGAGCAGTCCTGTTCCTCCCAGCCTGGTTTGACGTCATCAGCTTGCTCTGAGGTGTCCCTGCTGTTCTCTTTAACAGTGTAGTGGAGGAGGCCGCTAGTTGCATTCCAGGCTCTTCTCCATGGTGAGCCTTCGCAGACGCTCCCTCTGGAGCCGGTACTGACAGCGGTCACGCTGCCACGAGCATTTCTGTCCAGTGAATTAGACACCCAATTGCTTTTCTCTTGCTTGCCCTGTAGCTGCTTGAATAAAATTAGACTCATTCATTAATCTCATGAGTCACCTTTTTTTTTTGGCATTAGTCTCATTCCTGCCTCAATTTATTTCCCAGCTTACCTACTCTAAGTGTTTAAATTCATCCTTTTCTCTTACCCTTCGCTGATTCATTCTGTGGAAACTGCAGCTCATCACCGGGGAAAGAAAGGTTTCGGTGAACAGGTGCTGCCTGGGGCTGCGGTCCAGCCAGCTCCCCACGTCGTGGGGACACGAGCCCCGGGTCTCGACCGTGCTGAGCTCTGCCTGCCCCCGCTAAGTCACACCCTCCTAGAAGCAGTGCCCGGGCTGCTGTGTAAGCACGCGTGCCTCACTGACACTCTCCTCCTGGGCTAGGGTGCAAAACGCCCAGCGTCACCCGGACAGCTCATTCAACACGAAGCTTCCCTGGTCCAGACTCTCTGGGGGTGAGTCCAGAAAGGGCAGTTCCTGGAGGTGCTAATGAGAGGGAATTGTCTTTGTAGAAAACAACCCGTGATGGGCGTTGAGAGACTTAGAGACCCTTTTCAGTCAAACTGGCCTGGAAAAGTCCTTTCAAATCCTATTTTCTCCATTTAAATGTAACTCATGATTGCTAATTTGTGTGTTTGACTTCGAGATAGTGAGTCATCTGCCTCCATGTGTGCACGTGTGTGCATGTGCATGTGTGTGTGTGCGTGCATGTGTGTGTGTGCGTGCATGTGTGTGTGTATGTGTCCCTGGCACAACTGAGACCCTCGAGGAATGAATGATGCCTACTGCTTGTGAGGTCCTGGTCAACTACCTCCTCTGCTCCCATAGCACCTGCGCCTGCTGGTTGTTAGCAGTAACTGCATCTTAAATTTGAAGGTGATCGAGTTCGAGACCAGCCTCAGCTACAAAGTGAGCTCAAGGCCAGTCTGAACTCCCTAGTGAGACCCTGTCTCAAAAAAAATTGAAGGTGATGACAATCATCAGGATAAGCCCTGATGGGAAACAGACAGGGAGGTGGTCAGAAGCCCAGGTCTCCACATCCTGACATCTATTTTTCTCCAGCCAGCCCCTGTCTTACCCACATGGAGCTGAAGGACAGTAGAGGAAACAGGTGAAGACGAAGGATTCTGGAACCAAGGAGCCTTGGGTTCGGGTCCTGCCCCTCCACTTCTGAGCCCTGAGCTCATAATAACCCTACGAGCAGCCACATACACGGTGCTCTGCTCACTGTGTGTGGATTCTTTCCTTGTGTCCAATGTGTGTATTGGTGGCCATACATACATCACCTGCACTTTGTGTGTTGGACACCAAGGCACTGAGATGGTCCCACAGCCAGAGTGGGGCGCAGGGAGGATTTGGACCCTGACTTCCTGGCTCCAGGGCCCACATTGCACTCTCGTCCCTTCCTCTCCGTGGATCATACCTCTCCCTGCTTGGTCAGGCGGTTCTGCAGGTCCTGCACCTGCCTCCGCTCCTTTTCTAAGGCCTCCTTTGCTTTCTGGCGCTCGTAGGCGATGCTGTTCTCGGAGATCTGCAAGTCAAAGGCAGGGCATTCGAGTGGCCCCAGAGGAAGGGAGACATCGCTGCACGGGGTGGGAGGGGGGTGGCCCAGGCAGCCAGTGAGGCGGGGCTCACTCCTGGGGCGAGAGAGGCCAGAGGTGGGCACAGCTGGGGCGGGAGCCAGGGGGCCGGATCTGGGTTAGTCGTGCGCATGGAGAGAGGATTCGTTGTTCAGGATCTCTAGCTGGTGACCAGGAAATGATCTACTGATGAGGCACTGGACATGTTACTGGGCTACTGGACACTGAGCCACTGGCTAAACTGGCATGTGCTTGCGCTAGGCCCAGCCCTCGCTGGGAAGTACCTGGCCGGTGGGAGTCGGGGGAAGAGAAACAAAACCAGGCCACACTTCCTGCCCCAGCAGGCTGTACTTCCTGTCCCAGCAGGCCGTGTCCCCGTGGCTTTGCAGGAGGACACAGGCGGGCTCTTCAGCCTCCAGACGCCGGGGTCCAGACCTCATGTGCAGCACGTTTGGAAGTGGCAGCACGGACCCCAGATCTGGGTGTGCGGAGGCCTGGCCGCGTGCGTGGCAGGCACGAGCGTACCCCACCTGGCCCTGTCCAGCAATCCCCACTTTACAGGTGAGGAAGCAGAGGCTGGCGCTGAGGCAGCGAGGGGACAAGTGATGTCCCAAGGTCACGCCACTAGGCAGAGGGGTGGGGCTGTCATGGACACACTGCCCCCGTCCCAACCACGGTGCCACCCTGGCCCAGACGTCACGCCAGCTGGAGGCGGGAGCCGTGTTCACACGCTGGCCAGCAGAGCCATACCTGTGAGGGGTGCTGGGGGTGGCTGTGGCCTCAGTTTGGGTCCCCTGTGGGGGTGCAGTCTGTGCCTGTGAGCCTCCTCCCAGGCCTTTGCCCAAGGCTGCCTGGCCTGACCCTGGGCTCCAGCCTCGCCCCAGGTGCCTCATGAGCAAGAGTGCCAGATGCCTGATCTCTGTCCGGATGAGGGCGGAGAGGGCCAGGGCTTGCCACGGTCACACAGCCTGCCTGCTGGGCCCAAGGCCAGGAGCTCCTTCCTCTGCCCGGCGCTGCCTCCAGAGTCCTTTCACTGACTGCCTAGGGCCAGCTCCAGCTCCCCACCGGCCGTCCCCGGCCTGCTCAGCTCAGCGCTCTTCCCTCCAGGCTTGCATAGACGTACTCTCCTCTGAGAGGCTCCCCGGCTCTGGCTGCAGGCTGCTCTCTAAGCTGTGCCTTCATCGTCCCCTGGGTGCTGGCTCTGAGCTTTGGACTTGTCTCATTCACTGGCATGGGCACTGGAACGGGAGCTCTGGGCCTGGCCCGGCAACATCCCTGATCCCTGCAACATCCCTGGCCCCCAGAGCAGGCCTTGCTCACAGGCAGGTGGGGAGCTCAGAGAACCTGGACGGATGAATGAAACCCGATCACATGATTCCTGGAGCCATCAGCTCTGTTTCTGAAAGCTCCTGGAGGTGCCACTTTGGGGCCACCTCTGCCCCCAACTCATCTGCAGGGCTGACTGATCTCCCTCTGTTTCAGCCTTTCATAGCTATCCTGGCCAGGGTGTGTATGGGCCTCCCAGCTAGGGGGGTGAGGAGAGGCGGACGTCCCTCCCAGGGAACCCCCCTTTGCCTCTAGGTCATCATCTCTGTCAAGTTGTACTTCTCACCCCTCGTAGAGGCTGGCGTCCTTGGTGATCACATGACATGACCTTTGGGCTGTCGCTGACACAGCGTGGAGGATCTTTCCCAAGCCATGCCGGGAGCTGTGCCCCATACACCTGACTACCATGATGTTGGCAGAGGGACCGCCTGGCCACACCGTGGCTCTCCTGTCGGGGTCGCTCTGCCCCAGGAAGCTGAGCCTCAGACTGGGAGCTGCTGATGGAGGCCTCTGTGTGCAGGAGCGTTCTCAGTAGCTTACGCTTTACAACATTTAACCAGAGAGGCTGCGACTGCACATTCCCATTTTACAGACGAGGCCACTGAGGGCTGGGAGGTTCGGTCACCTGCTCGGGCCATCTGCCCATGTGGCCACCTCGCTCTCGGGCACCTTCCAGAGTGATCTGGGTGCTCGTACCTCCTTCTGCTGGGTCAGGTGGTTCTCCAGGTCCTGCACTCTCCTCCGTTCCATCTCTAGCACCTCCTTTGATTTCCTCTTCTCGTAGGCCATGCTGCTCTCCCAGATCTGAAAGCCAGCGAGCGTCCTTGGTGCCTGCACCCAGGGGCAGAGCTAACACCAAGGCCACTCAGCACGCCAGCAGCCACGACTCCCTTCCCACCGTGACCTATCAGGAAATGCTGCTGGTGGCCCCATTTTATAGATGAGAAAACCAGGGGACAGAGGATGGCGAGGCCCCCAAGGTTTGCATCCCAAGCCTGCAGCCGCCCAGACCAGCAGAGCCGGGCTTCCTGTCACCCCTCTGATGGGAGAAGACTCGTGAGTGATGTAATTGTCCATTCCAGAAACACATCTGCGAGAGAATCGGGTATCAAGAGCAGGACGGCGGGCTGCAGGGCTGAGCCGAGGACCCCGAGCACTCTGCCGGGTGTCGGGAGCACGGGTGGCTACGCATGGGTCCTCACTCAAGCCGTTTCACCTGGATTTGGTTTTTTTGGTTTTTTCTCCGGTACCGGGAACCGAACTCACGACCTTGCGCTTGCCAGGTAGGCGCTTTGCCGCTGAGCTAAATCCCCAGCCCCCAAGCCGTTTCACCTGGAAATTACTTGCTGACAAGTCATTCGGCTAACACAAGCCACCAAAGGCTGTGAACTCCTGCCCTGGCCCACTTCCAGTCACCCCAGGGAGGGGCACCTCAACTTTCACATGGGCATCTTGCAAACACCAGTTTGACTGCCAGGTATTTCCACTATAATCTGGGGGAAGGGCCCCAAATTAGCCCACTGAAAGCATTTAATCCACAGCAAGGCTGAGACATTGTGTATTTTGCAGTGAAAAGTGCTTTTGAAAGCTCTACCACTCAATTGTCCCAGCCCCAACCCTAAACAAAGCGGATGAGCAGTGACAGCGTGGGAATGTCACATTTGTTTTGCAGGCCGAGGTGGCTTTCAGGGTGCGGCCTTCTCCTGTGAACTGTGGAAGAGATTTCGTGGCACCTCCCAGTAACATCTACGGTGGGTAGGGGGGGAGCCCTCCCAGCCTTAGGGAGGCATCCCACTGGGACTGCCTTGCGTCACCTCAAAACCCAACTGTGACCTAGAGGTTCTTTGGTCCTTAGAGAGTTACTTGGTGAAGCAGCGGAAGCTCTAATAAGAGGAAAAATCAAATCATACGTGTGGCTGAATGTGGCCCGTGGCACCCGCATGACAAACTGAACAGAAGCGGTTCTGCCTGGAGTGGGCTGATGTCTCTGCAGACCTGGGGTGGCCCGGGGAACAGATCCCCTCAGCAACAAAATTCCGGTCTCCTCCTGAGGTTCCCTGTGACCTCGGAATCTCTAAATTCAAGGACCGTCCCAGCCCAGGCTGACCTCTGGGTGGTGCTGACATAGGTGATTCCTCAGAGGCCTCCTCAGAGACAGAGCTGAGGAGCCAGACTTGGTGACAGCATTGCTACAAAGTCCCCTCCTCTGACCGTCCGTCCGTCTGTCCATCCAGGTCTCTTGCTCTCTCTCTCCTGCTGGGTGGGGCAAGGACTTTGAGAAATGAGGGTGCAGAGGGATGAGGCCTATGCCGGAGAGGTGGGTATGGAGCCATCTACATCACATGTAGATTTCTGGGTCAAACACCCGCCTCCCCCAAGAATGCAGGTACTGATATAGCTGTGTCTGCCAGGAAATAGCCCAGCCAGGATTTGAACTCTTATCTTATACAACTTCCAGGCTGCCCTCCCCTGTACTGCCTCAGGATTGAGGGATTTGTGAAAATCTCTCAAGGGATCTGAGGGTGACCACAAGCTAAATGCAAATCAACAGCATCACAGATCTTTCCCCAAAGCTACTTTGGTTGCATTAACGGAAGCACACCATCTTCACCAAGGGAGGTGGGAGAGTCTTGCCCCTTTCTTCTGTGGCTGGAGAACAGAGTTTGGTGCAGGTACCGCACTTCACAAAGAAGCTAAAGAATAAATGCCAGGCAGGTACAGACAATGAACTGGGCTGTGTTTGATGCGACTGGGACTGCCGAGGACTGCGGCAGACTTCGGGTACTTGGTTCAGCCCAGTCCATTTCGCCAAGTGGAAACGAAGGCCAGATTTTCAGGCTTTTGGAAAGACAATGGAAATGTTTTTTTTTTTTTTTTTTTAAAAAAAAACCTCTTAGTCATTTAAAATCAAACATTCCGGGGACAAACATAACATATCTACAGCCCCCTTCTACCAGTCTGTGGCTCTGCGGATCAGAGCTGACCTGGGGGGCTGGCGGGGGAAGTGGGGGCCTGTGGCTGGAGGATGTAGGAGCAGATTTAACGTCCCCATTATTATGTGCAGGAGGAAGTGAGTGCGACTTGCAGGAGCCCACGGTAGATATGGGCTGACATTCTTCTAGGGAGAGAGACTTTGATTCAACTGCACCTAAAGGCAAGCAAGCCTCCTGCGGCCTTGGGGACCCACACCCGGGATGGCTGCCCCAGGGGACGGCTGCCCCAGGCTGGGAGGGCTCCTCAGAGGTGGGGCTGAAGCCTGGATGCATTTAGGCCACGTTGGAGGATCTCTATAGCCCTGAAGTCCTGAGACTCTGTCACTCCCCAGTTCTATACTTCGGAACTCAATATCTGGGCAGAAGACTCCCACGTCACCTCTCCTGACTTGTCACCCAAGCCCCGACTCTCGGTGTACTTTACAGTGTCCAGAACGTTTCCCCGCTGGTTGTTACAACTCCAGGCTCTCTCCTGAGTCCCCCGTGCATCTCAAAGCAGCCAAGCCTGGCCTAGCACTGGTGGGTCCAGGAAGGTACCACCACACTGTGCCCCTTACCCCAGGCTTATGCTTTGGAAACAGCTTCCAGCCAGGCATGGTGGCCAATACCTGTAATCCCAGCTCTCTGGGAGGCTGAGGCAGGAGGATTGCAAGTTTGAGCCCAGCCTGGGGAACTTAATGACTTAATGAGACCATGTCTCAAAGTTAAAAAAAGAAAGAAAGAAAGAAAGTGCTGGGGATGTAGTTTAATGCAAAGGACTTGGGTTCAGTCATCAAGAAGGAACTTCCACATGTCAAGCCACCCCTCCTGAGCCCTGCCTACCTCTTTGTGGCGGGCCAGGCGGTTCTCCAGGTCACGGACCCTCCTCTGTGCCTCCTCTAGGGCTTCCCTGGCTCTGCCTTTCTCTATGCTGTCTTCCAAAGCCTGCAAGTCAGTGGCAGTTGCTGAGTGTCCCGGTGACCATGGCAGGAAGTTGGGCTCTGCAGGCTGTGCGTGATCCACCATAGTCCTGGGCTAACCCCGGGAGGCTGTGGGCAGAGGAGCCCAGGGGCTCGGGGCTCAGGCTCTGGAGGAGCAACCCCAGGTTAAAGCAGAGTGCAGCCTTTCCAGCAGGGGATCCGGGCCTGCTTTCCCTCCCCTGCCGCTGCAGTTCACCTCCTTCTGCTGGGCCAGCCGCTCCTCCAGCTCGCACACCTTCTTCTTTTCCTCCTTGGCTTTGTTTTTCTCTTGGGCAACTCTATCCTCCAACGCCTGCAAGTCAAGGACATGGCTGAGTGTCTCGGTTGCCATGGTGGGGATGTGGACTCTGCTAAGCTGTGTGGCTTGCCCTGCACTGCTCACCACACCCATGGAATAACACGTGCAGCAGAGCCTGGGATGAAACCCTCCCTGGCCCTGGAGCCCTGGGGGAGGACCTATGTGCATAGCCTCAGTGTCCCTGTCTATACAACAGGGAACAGTACTAGTTGACCCGAGGACTGGAGAGTACGATGCACATGAGGTAGATGCTCCACACAGTGACACTATCTATTCCGACTTCGCAGAGGAGGAAATGAATGGGTTTAAAGAGATGAAGGACTCTGCCCTGTGGGCCAGAAGATCACACAGTGGGGGACTCAAACCCTGGCCCATTTCATTCTTAAGCTTGTGTTCTAAACATGCATTAGTAAATGATGGCCTATAGACCTGCTCTGGCCCCCTGCCTGTGTTTTACAAATAAAGTTTTATTGAAACATTCCCTGTTCTTTATGGCCTATGGCTGCTTTTGCACAGTGGCAGAGCTGAGAAGTCACCACAGAGACTTCTTGACCGGCAAAACTGAAAATACTCACTTTGTGTGTCTTTATGGAAAAAATTTGCCAATCGCTGACCTAAAAAAAGCATTAGTGAGTGGGTAGATTAGGCCAATGCTGCTAACAAGTCATAATAAAAGAAGGAAAGCTAGGTTTGTTTTGCCATTGACGCAAAGTCCTAAAACAAGCCAGGATTCACGAGAGGGAGGCTGACGCTGCACAGAGGATATTCAGACCAGGGGAGGTGAGGGGTGTGACAGGGCATGGGCAATACTCACTAATAACCAGCGAGTTCCTCTCAGGTGAGCCCCAGGGTCAAGCTGTCAATACAAGTGTCTCAGGAAGGGTGTTACAGTTAAATCGAGAACGATCCCCTACAAACGCTCGGGGGCTCAGAGGAGGGGATTCTGGGAGGCGAGTGGATCAGCTAGAGCTGACTTGCTGTTAGGAGGTGGAGCCTGGCGGAAGGAGGATCATGGTGCTATAGCTCCTTTCCAGGCTACCCCGCTTGTATCTCTGCTTCCAGGCCATACACCATGAGCAGCTTTCCTCAGCTTTCCTTTCCTTCCACCATGCTGCTTCTGCGTTCGAGCCTGCCAGCCACAGACTGACACTTCCTAAACTGTGAGCCGAAGTAGATCTCTCCCTCTTGGTGGGTGTTGGATGATTTGTTCTCAGTGACGAGAAAGTGACTAAGACAGACAAAGGGTGACCTAGAAGGAGACTGACACCACTTCTTCCCTGTGCTGGGCTGGTACAATGAGGTTTACGTGTTTGAAGGGGCTTTGAAGCCAGCCCGTAAAATACTTCCTGCCAGGAACATCATAATTTGGGCACTGGGGAAGCCCAGGCTGGTGCCCAAAGGCGTATTTCACACAGGGGGCTCAAGTCTCATATCCCGACTATGGAAAAATCAACCCCAAATTAAAAAACAATAGGGCACTTGGGGATCTGAGAGGCTAAAGGGGGAAGTGGTCTGAGAGGAAGAGGAAGTATTGGGAGGAGGGGAATTCCTGAGCTCTCTAACTCCCTTCTGGCTTCAGTTTCTTCTCTAGGCGAAGGCGCTGAGTTTTGCCCTCTACCTAGTTTGCTCTTCCTGATGTGCCAGTCTGACTTATGGCTATCATTAATATTAACTTTATGGGGATGTCACATGGTTCTTCCTTTTTATCTCTTATTTTACCAAAGGCAGAGAGAGGCGAAGAGAAGAGAGGGAGGAGGAGAAGCGAGATGTCCTCAGGTGCCCGGATGTAAACTGGAGGACGGAAATAGAAGAGGCGGAGGCTTGGAGAGACCAGGGATCAGGTGTGGGTGATGGAGGAGGACAGCCCTTCACCCGGTTTGGTGGGAACCCAGCAGTAAGGAAGGAGCAAGATTGAGGACTTTATGAATCTCTTAAATGGGGCTGGGAATTTAGCTCAGCGGCATAGCGCCTGCCTAGCAAGCACAAAGTCATGAGTTTGATTCCCGGTACCGGAAGAAAAAACAAAAAAACCGAACAAACAAAATGAATCTCTTAAATGGCCAAAGTGTAGCCGAAGTCACGAGCCACCGACCTAGGATGATGGGAATCAGGGAAGTAAAATGCCCCACTGTTCCCTGGATAGCGAAAAGGACCAACTCCTCGGCCAGCATGAGAACAGGCTTATGAAATGCTGCTTCCAGGCCTTCTCTAGAGATCTGGACTCCATGCGTCGGGGGTGGGAAGCTCTGGGGAACCCTTGCTTCAAGACGCTGCTCTAAGACTCAGTCCTGTCCCACCTGCGCCCCGTGGGAGCCACCAGACCCGCAGGGTGACCGTCTGCCTTTCAACCCGATGCCCAGCTGACCGCCTGCACCTTAGCCTTTGGGAAGCACTGCTGTCTGGTGCATTCTCTCCGGCCCGGTTTTTAGAAAAGCCAGTAGCAGTTTGGGTACTTGTTTTCCCTCCAATATGTATCCAGATACAGTGAGAGACTGAAAGCCGAGCTTAGACACATCTGTCCCTTACAAACCAGGAGCGGCAGTAATGAGTCCATTTTGTGTAATCAACCGCGATGTAGAAACAAAGATGGCGGCATTTCCCCCTAAATCCGACACTCCTGCTTTTCCAAGTGGATTGTGCTGTTTCATTAATATCGACCCACAGCATGAACCCAGGAATTGCTCAGCTTTCCTCAGCTAAGCACACATCCTCCCTGGCCCACAGAAAAGGCCCTTTTGCCAGTTTCCAACTGTACAGAAAGGAGCAGTAGGGCTGGGGATATAGCACAGTGGCACAGTGCCCGTCTGACAAGTGTGAGGTCATGAGTTCGATTCTCAGTACCAGAAAAAAAAAAAAAGAAAAAGAAAACAGCAGTGACCACCTCACCTCCTTCTCTTCCATCAGCTGCTTGACTCTGGCCTTCAGCTTCTCCTCTAGCTCCAGCCTCTCCTTGGTCAGCTTCTCCTTCTCTGCCAGATGCTCCTTCAGTGCCTCCTGCAGCACTTTCTCCTGTATTTCTTGAGAACTGTTGATCTGGACCTGAAGTGAGGAAAAAGGAGGCTGAATCGGATGGGGGCATCACTAAGAAGTCCTTCCCACAGGCTCTGACAAACTGTTCACCTTTCAGGGGACAAAGGTGTTCACCAGAGTTACTGAAAAACACTGGTAAACTGTCCTTCGCCTAGTTACTGGTAGGGAAGCAGTAGAATTTTAAGACTTCAGACTCTGGATCTAGATAAAAAATTAGCTCTAGTTACTTCTAAGATGCTTCTCCATTTAGAAAACGAGGACAATCACAGTACCTGCATCTCAGAGTTGTAAGGATGAAACGTGATAACCAGAGAAAGGTGTTAGCACAGTACTTGGTACAGAGGAGGTGCTCAGTAAACGGCAGCTAGAACGGTTAGTTTCTATTTGCTGTGCAAAGGAGGAAAAACAGCGATCTGGGAGTCAGAAGGTCTGAGCTTTTGCCTTGATTTTTTTTTTTTTCTTACTAATTAGCTGTGTGACAATCAAATAGTCACCAATCTCTTAGGACTTTGATGGCCATATCTGTAAAATGAGGAGGATGGGCTAGACCAGAAGTTGACAAACTATACTCCACAGGCCAGATCTGGTCCACAGCCTGGTTTGTAAATAAAGTTTTATTGGAACAAAGCCATGTCCATCTTCCCATTTATTTACATGGTACCTACGGCTGCCATTCTTTCTACCATAGCAGGGTTGATAGGTTTAACTGAGACCATATGTTCTGCTAAGCCAAAACTATTTACCGTCAGCCCTTTGCAGAAGACTTTTTTGAGCCCTGGACTCAGGTTTCTGTGGCTGATTAGAAGGGTGGTCTCAGTTCTCCAGCCTCCTCTTACCCATGTCTCTGCCTATGTAAATTGCAGTGGCAGCCCATGGCCATGGTCTTCCCCGGGCACCGAACTCGGCCATGTAACCTGCTTTGGCCAATAGGATATTAGTAGACATAAAACAACCTGTGAATTGAAAAGCTCTGTGTGATTGGTTCTGCTTTCTCTCCTCACTTCGTAGCCTCCAGGAGAACATGCTCAGGCTGGCTTGTTGGAGAATGAGAGACTTCAGCTCCTAGATCAACCAAGGCCAGCCAACACCCAGAAGAGTGAGTGAGTCTACCCAAGGTCAGCATAGCCGCCTGAATGCTGACTGCAGGCAGACAGATGAGTAGGAATTAGTAATTGTTGAATGTGGTTGCTTATTATATAGAGTTATTATGCCAACAGCTATCATAATGGCACAGTCCTTAAGAATCATCTGCCTTTAGAATAATTCCTTCCTCTTGATAATTCTGCTGCATAGACCATGGGCACTGCTCTTTTTCTACTGCACTTAATGAAGATAATTTTCAAGATCTGATAGCATCTAGTCTTTTGTGGTGGTGGTGGGGTGTTGACCAAGGGAAACAAGCAGTTGCTCAGCCCAGAAGCTCAACCACCGGGCGGCACCCAGTCTCTGCCCTTGGCTGTGAGCAACCTCAGCCACCCTGCGGAATCTCTTCACATGCTAACGGAGAAATCATTTCACCTCTTGCAGGATGTGGGCTAAGTCCAGGGAACAAACACAGATTTCAGATGCACAGTGAAATACAAACGCCAAGCAGGAGCTGAAGTGATCTTTGAGAAAAAAAAAAGAATTACCTGGAGCTCCTGGGTCTGGCTCATAATTCTTTTATAATGTTCCAGAAGACGTACAGGATATAAAGAGAAGCCTTGGAAAACAGAAGTAGGCAGAAGGTTAGTATCAATCCCATCATGTCTTTGCTTTCTGACCAACATCTTAAGGAAGCCTACGGACACAGGGATGAAGACAACCCCGGGGACATGAGCTGCCGTCTGACTTGTGCTTTTAAAGTGGTTGATAAACTTTGGTTGCAGTAGTATCCAAGTTTCTTTTTAGAGGTGGAAAATAAAAACCCACCAGCAGAACACTATCTTTCTGAGTGTCTACCTGTGTCCAGGGTGGGGATGGTGCGTAGCCATGACCGGCAGGGCCTTGCACTTGGATCTGAGAGGTGAGCTCTAAATGCCTGCTGGGAGCATGCAGGGATCCTAGGCAGCATGTCAGTGATGGTGAATGAGGGGGGCCTGTGAGGGCCTCAGAGGAGAGAGGCATCATTCCCAGGGTGGGATCCAAAAGGGTCACTTGGTGGAGAAGCCATTGGCTGTGGGTGTTGCACGGGCAGAAGTCAGTGACAGGGGAAAGTGTGCCACAACATAGGATTTGGTGGGCTGGATGGGAGCCCCCACCAGCATGCGGCTCCTAATCCCTGGAACCTGGGAACACACTTAATGCAGCAAAAAGGATTTTGCAAATGTGCCTTGTTGGATTTTTTTTTTTTTTTTGTCTTTTTGAAACAGGGTCTCGCTATGCAGTTCAGGCTGGCCTTGACCTCACTTTGTAGCCCAGGCTGGTCTCGAACTCACAATGATCCTCCTGCCTCAGCCTCCCGAGTGCTGCGATTACAGGTATGTGCCACCACATCCAGCCACCTTGTTGGATTTTGAGATGAGAGATTATCCTGGATTAGCCAAACTGGCTCAGTATAATCACACAGGTCCTTAAAAGTGGGAGATTTATCTGCAGACAGACAGAAGGAAGTTGATGCAGCAGAAAGAGTTGCAGATGCCGTGCTGCTGGCTCTGAAGACAAGAGGAAGGAGCCATGAGCCAAAAACAAAACTCTAGAAGCTGCAAAATGGAAGGAAGTAGATTCTCCCCCACAGCCCCCAGCAGGAACCAGCCCTGCCCTTGGCTTTATCCCAGGGATGCTGAATTTGGACTTTCAGCCTCCAGAAATAGATACGTGTTTGAAGCCACTAAGCTCATGGTTAATTCGCCATAGGCACAGGAAACCAATCCAGGGGTGAAGGCAGATAGGGGTGAGGGAGAGGCAGTGTGGGGGAGGTGTGGAGCCTCCCTGCAGTGGACGCGGGGACTGAAGGGTGAGGTCCGTCCCTGGCAGCCTAGAACAGTAGCCTAGAATGTGTCAACCTGATTTAAACCTCATGTAAATGTAGGGAGTGCATCCCGCGTGCCTGGCCTGACACGGAGCCATGGATGCCTCACCCACCGCAGCAGCCTGTCATCACCCCATTTGATGGACTAGGCAGCGGGGCTCTGAGCCGCATGGCCTCCAGGAGTTGGGCCAGGACTCCAGCTCCGGTGTTGTGCCACTGAGGGGTCTTGTCAGGGCTGCGCCGGCTGCCAACCCAGCTGCCAGGTGGCTCGATGAGGCGCGTTCCTGCAGAACAATAACTGGGGTGAGGTAGAGAAAAAGGAGCTGTGGGCTGTCCGCACACAATGCTCCCGGTGTGGCCATGGGGCTGCCTTGTATTTTGAGATGTTTAGCAGCATCACAATCCTCTGTTTTGCAGGGCGGGGAGGAGTTCCATTCCCTGCCCCAGTTATAGCAAACACAAAAGCTTCTGGATGTTGACAGGTTTCCCCTGAGTAGCAGAATCCTCTCCTCTGAGAAGCAGGGAGCTCAGCTGAGAGCTCAAGGCCAGTCCTGTCCATCCAGGGATCTTTATGTGCATTAGGAAAAGGCTCCCTTCCTCCTGGTGGCCAGACCCAGCTCCTACTTGCTGCCTCAGTCTGTCCCCGTTACGTAAGACCTGACCTGCACTCTGTCCTGGCAGCCCTGCTTGGAGACATGTGTTCCACTTGGATGTCCCTGCAGTAGGATGGTTCTTTGTGAATGAGGCAAGGTGGGGGAGGGCCAAGGACTGCCCTGCAGCACACGCTCATGTTAGAGACTGGTGAAGCGAGGCTGCTGCAAACAAGCAGAATTGGTCTGAGGAGAGGCAGGCGCACAGGTCCTGGAGCCAAGCAGCATGAGGGTTTCAGCAGGAGAACCAAGAGTGATGGCTGGTTGGAGGGAACATGGCCCAGGAAAAGATGGCACCCGTGAGGCCTGCAGGGGTCCATGTGTTACCTGCAGGGACCAGGCAAAGAGCAGAGAACGCAGGAAGCTGACAAGGACCATGGAGTGTGGCACACTTCTTCGAGGTCATAGGTGGAGTCAGGCTTGGGAACAGTAGAGAAAGAGAGAAAGAAGCAGTGGGTTCCAGTGAGAAATTATTTTTCAAGATGGTGGCGCCATCTTGGAATGCACTTTCGGTGGCAAAGGGAAGGAGCCAGGAGGGTAAGAAAGTCTGTGGGTGCCCAAGAAAGGAGGTTGTCATTCAGGACCCCAGACACAAGGTGCCTGGGATGGAGAGAGGGGAGACACAGGGTAGGGAAGAGCTGCACACGGGAGGAGGACACTGTGGGGATGATGGAGTGGAGGAAGAAAGGATGGGGATAGCAAGAGGGGCAGGAGATTGAACGCGCTCATGCCTTGATGCTTGATCCCTACACACATGACTTTCTGAGGCTTTGCAGCAAGGAAGAGTGAGAATAATAATATTATATCAATGCTGTCGAGTATTATGCACTTGCACTTGCTATGCGCAGGCACCAGGCCAGGAGTTTTGTACCTACTTTCTGGTCATTATGATCAATGTGGCAAGGAAGTGCTTTCATATTTACAGGAGAAACAACGAAGTTCACCAAGGGAAGGCGTCGGAGCTGATGAGTGGCAGTGTCAGAATTCAGACCTAGGTCTGAATTCAGGAGATGAGCTGAAGCGGGAGGAGTGGACAGGCCAGTGAGAAGGGTGCTCCGGGAGAGGTGCACAGCAAGGACACCCGGATGGCGGGAGGTGAGGTGCCCCGGCTACCACTGGCTTGGGCTACGGTAAGTGCAGAGATTGTGATGGCTGAGTCACATAGCTGCCGGCACACAGTAGGTCCTTAATAAATAGCTGTTGAGCAACTGAATTAAAGTCAAGATCCTATGGGATCACACCAGGCTGGGATAATACTCTCAAGCGTTCGATGTCTTTTTCTCCAGATTTTTCTTTTGGTCAGGTACTTTTTGCAAAAGAGAAAAACAAAAGCACATGATACTGCATTGCAACTTGCTGCTTCTTCCATTTAAAGATACGGCCTGCCTTGGATATTTGAGAATGGGTGATTTCCCACGTGTACGGGAAGTTCTTTCATTTGTAACAAAGTCTTGCAGAAATGGACACAAACAGTTGAGCATGCACAGAATAATGTGAAAGTCCTTTCATTCCCTTATCAAGGAAGCCTGGGAAGCTGGTGGGGGTGATGGCAGCTGACTTGCAAGGTTCTCTGGAGACAATGGCCATCTTCCCAGTGGACCTGGGAACACTTCCCCAAACAGACAGCTAGCGACAGGCGCTGGAACCCTATGAGGCCTCTCCTTCTGGGGTGCTCGGACGTCATCCCACAAGACCTTGAGCAGTTTCCCTTTACTTTTAGACCACCTGGATTCCTCTGGGGCTTTGGGTCAGGATTTATGAATGTGTTTGTTATGTGCGTCTCTGCTTGGGATGCCGTTCCAAAAGCAGGGGTTTTGAGGATGGAGTCTGGGGTTTACCATGTGAAGCGGGGACACTGCTGTGGCTCTAAGATGAGGCTAGACAGGGCTCTTTCTGCTTCTGGGCGAAGGAAGCCACCATCGGTGCCCAGGTGGAGGTGTGGGTGGTTCCATAAAAGCTTGTGGAGACCCAGGACTACTGCGCGCGCGTGTGTTTGTGTGTGTGTGTGTGTGTGTGTGTGTGTGTGTGTGTGATATCCCCAGGCCTCATGGTGACCCAATGACAGTTTATGCCCATAACAAAGGTCTAAAGACGTAAGTCACTTTCCCATGCAATGAAGAAGTGCACAGTTGAAACTTAAACCAGATAGTTGACCTCCAAAGTCCAGACTCAGAGCCATTAATTACACTGTGCTGCCAGTGGGGCTTTCTGTGGTGCTATGGTTGAATGCTCCCACCGAAACTCTCTTTGAAACTTAATCCCCAAAGTCTCACGTTAATGGTGTTTGGAGGCGGGGCCTTTGGGAGGTAATTAGGGTTAGACAGGTCATGTGCATGGGGCCAGATGATGGCATTAGCGCCTTCCTAAGCAGCAGAGGAGGTGTGGTGGCGCATGCCTGTGATTCCAGCAGTCTACCAGGCCGAGGCAAGAAGACTGCAAGTTTGAGCCTGGGCAATTTAGCAAGAGCCTCTTTCAAAACAAGAAATTTAAAAAAGGGCTAGAGATGGAACTCAGTGTGAAGGCCTTGGGTTAATCCCCAATACCAGGGAGAAGAAGAAGAATGAGGAGGTGATGTTGGTGATCGTGTCGGTGATGATGATGGTGCTGATCGTGGTGACAAGGGTGGTGGCCGCGATAAAGGGAGTGACGGCCGTGATGATGGGGCTGAAGGTGGTGATGCTAGTGACAGTGGAAGTCATTGTTCAGATGAAGCACCGATATTCCAGATGCCATTCCCAGCATCTTTCATATCCATCTAAGTTTCCCCTGAGAACAGCTCTATGAGGCAGCACCCATTATCCCCACTACAGAAACCAGGAAATTGGGTCCAAAGCTGTCTTTATGATTATTCCACTGGAAGAAGGTGGCTCAGGGTGCTTCACGTTACTGAGGCCAGCAAGGCTCCTGCACCTGCTCATCACCACCATGAGCATCGAAAGCCTTCTGCGTTCATGGTTTTCCTGAAGGGAGGGCAGGGGCTGTGGCCATTTAGCTCCCCCTGGGTGCTTAGCACTGTGCTCAGTGTCCTCTGAGCTCATGGGACTTCCCATGCGTCTACTGGATTCTTGTGACTGGCACCATGAGAGAGGCACTGCCAACGTCTATTCTGAAGGTAAGAAAGAGGAGACTCCAGGATGTTTAGAACGGTCACACAGTAGGGTCACACTGAGGGCTCTGTGATCCTAACACTTGCGTTTTTCATGACCCTGCACTTCCTCTGGAGACCCAGCAGGGTTCCGGCTACTTGCGATTCCTAGAGGGCAGCTTGTCATTACCCTGGACAAGGACGAAGTTAAGATTTGTCATTTCCTAAGGTAATGTCTCCTCTTCCTCTGCTCCTCTCCTGTGTGCTAAGAATTAGGGACCCCAGTAGAGACTAAAGGAACTCTCTAGCTCATTCCTTTCTTTTTATCTTTGGGGTCTCACCCTGATGTCACTTGTACTGGAAAATACCTCTGCATCAACTTCCTGTCTTGCTCAGTGGATGAAGGATGGGTCCTCGTCAATCTTTCTGTTTTACCCCCGACTCTTCCCTCCCTCACTTCTTAGAGCCAGGTTGTTGGAATCATAGGATACGGTCACTAGCACAGCCTCTGGCCAACAGGTGTCCCACAGAGCGTCATCCAAGAGAGGCCAGTTGGGGATAAGGGCAGTGAAAAAGGAGACCTGCATTTTGGGAACCCACATTCTTTATCCTATTTCTGAGGATCCGCAGTAGCTACTGACAGAAGAGGGATTCTGCAGGGACCAGTTTAACGTCACTTGGCTCTCACGGCTCCGTGCAGTCAGGAGGGGAGGATGGCGGGTCTGACAAACGCTGCCCACAGCCAGTCTGTCTCAGCTCTCTGGCATCGCTGGCCTGACAGCTTAACTTCACAGCCACGTTTCTTTACGGTAACATATGGCTCGGTTTACAGACGCAGGCGTCGGGGACTGAGACGGTGCTGGGAGGTAGGAGGGGACAGTGCACGGGTGGCGTGGCCCAGCTGTCATTGCAGCTCCAACCTGGAGGAGCAAGCAGAAGGCTGGCCCGGGCTCTACCTGGTTTCCTGTACGCTCACAACTCTGCCACGGTGACAGCGACTGCGCCTGGGAGGACACCGGCCCTGTCAGCCCGTCCCGCCTCTCATCACCCCTCTTTCTCCATGCTATGGCGAGGGGCAGGCACTTACCAAAAAAATCAATCTATCTGGAGAACTTTATTCCACCTTCTGGATTACTGTGGAGCATCCCGGCTGGAGCTACTGAAGTTCCCGAGAGGAAAACTCACTTTCCGGTTCTCTCACGGCTGCGAGAATCTCACATTCATGCAGCCTCCTGAGGGGAGCGATTCTGCAAGGAGCTGTGAGTTCCTCAAGCGGTGGCCCTGGCTGCACCCCTCCCACCCCATGCTTTCTACTTCCTGCTCACACCCGGGGGTTTACACATGCGTGTGTGCATCTGCCCACCTCATGAACATTTCCTTGGGGTAGGAGCAGCACACGCTCTCCTGCCTGCCAGGACATATCACTGGCTTCTCTCTCCATCCCAGGCCTCCAGGTGACAGCTGCTCCCACTCCCGCTCTCGTCGCTTCATCTTGGAAGCCCGTGGCCACCTCCAGCTCGCCTTCCTTCTCTGGGCCTCCCCAGCCCTCCTTCCTCTGCATGTTATGGAGGGAACCACACACATCAGCACCTTCACACACTCCAGAGACCCGGAAGTCATGCACAATTGTTTCTGTCTACCACTTCCCTTCCAACCAAGTCCAAATCCAGCACAGGAGCCTGTTGATTTACCTCCTAACGGCCCCTGAGTCTTTGTTCATGATCCTCACCTGTCCTCGTGCGGCCACTGTCATCCCTTACATCCTGGATGGCCACTTGTTGGTCACCTTTGGTATATTCTCCCCTTGGGACCAAGGTTATGCCCTTAGCCTGTAAGCCTGGTCCATTAATTCCCTACTGAAAACCTTTATGGGTGTCTTGCTGCTCTTAGGATAAAGCAGGGCTTCTCACCAGGCCCTGTTGCAGAGCCCCTGCCAACCCCTCGTACTGGCCTCCTTTACCTACCCCATTTCTTTTAGTCTCGGGTGTCCTCCACTGCCACCTCTCTCTGCCCAGAACGTGCTCCCCTCTGTTCTTCGGCAGACAACAACTATTCATCCTCCAGATGCCCTGTCCTCCTTGACCACACTGAGCCCTGCACTCTTCACAGAAATCATAACCATTCAAGTTGTACATGTATTGGAATGATTTTTGATTAATGCTCATCTCATTCCTCTGTGAGACCATAAGCCACATGAGGGCAAGGATAGTACCTGTTCTCTTCCCCCCAAGTATTTTATTATGAAAAATTTCAAACATAAAGTTGGAAGAATTTTACAGGGAACAACTAGATACCCATGACTTGCTGGCTACCTGATTCTAATTCCACTGTATCTCTGCCCTGCTTGGTCCTGGTGTCTAATAAGTGTGCCACTAACCCCTAGGATCCTGAGGGTGAATAGGCCTGTGTGATATGATGGTTAGCTCAGCAGGATCTATGGTCTGAAGACCCAGAAGTAGCAGAAACGCATGTGCTGGAGGATTGGCTACAGCTCCACAGTGCAATGCCCTGCAGTCCGTCATGATGGAGACCTGTGTGTACTGACTTGGGAGAGGCTGCTGAATACTGTGGCAATGGGAACAGAACTAAAGAAAATTGGGTATGACCGGACACTATTCTTTATAGGATTGAAAATCTTAAGTAAGCAAAAGTAATGCTTGTTCTGTGTCAGATACCATTCTAAGTGCTCCATTAGAGCCATACATCTAATCCTCACAATGACCCAAAGAGGTGGTTACGTCTTATCATCTGCACCTTACAGGTGAGGTAACTGAGGCACAGAGAGGGAAAGTAACTTGCCTAGAATCACACAGCTATTTCCAGAGGAAAAGGCTGTGGAAGTCAGAATCACCAGTGTAGTTATTGCTGAGAGGCAGGAGGGAGCATACTTGTGATATAATTTTCCTTTTGTCTCTCTCTGGTTTCATGTCCTTTCAGTGATCATGTATTTTTTTTTTTTTTTTTTTTGAGACAGGGTGGCCTTGAATTCACTGTGTAGCCCAGGCTGGCCTTGAACTGCTGGCAGTCCTCCTGCTTCAGCCTCCTGAGTGCTAGGATTACAGGCATGCACCACCACGCCTGGCTATGAGTATTTTTGTTTTAAAGGAAAACCACTTCCCGAGCCAAGTGAATTGGGAGAAAGGAACAGTTGGCCACATCTCCACCTCAACAGATGTCCCGTCATGGGAAGATTCATCATGACATTTTAGAGTCATGCAACTATGTGCAAAAAAGTCACAGTAACCTTTGTCAGAGCTGGAAAGCTGGAGGCCGAGGTCCCCGAAGAGCTGCTCCATTCCCTCCAGCCAGGCCATCGAGAGGCTCAGGAGGTCCACCATCGCCTTCTGCAGCCCTGACATAGGTGAGCTCACCTGAAGGCCCTGCAGAAGGTCCACCTCCCTCTTCAGGTCCCTGCTGCAGCAGGACGTTCTCATGCAGTCCTGAAAGCAGACAAAGTCACGAGCATCTCAGACTCTGTAGCCAGAAATAGCACCTGGCAGGACCTGCAAGCACTAGGGAGGGTCCTTGGCTTTTCCACAAAGCAGGCAGTGCCACATGTCGGCTGCCCCGGGATGGTCCAGGGTTTTTTTAGATTTTTAGGTGGGGAAGCAGCCTTTGTAGTTTTGCACTGTAATTTGGAATGTCGATGGTCAAAGGGAGCTCCCTTTAAGCTATGTGCGATCCCAAAGCCAAACTGCCACCCATGATTTGGCTGAAATGAGATCCAAACTTGGCTACTCCTAGTCATGAAAAATCCTGCCGAAATGAATGCACATGCTGGTCAGAGAGTGTGGCCTCCTGGTTTTTCCGGAAAGAGTGCTGACTAGCCAACATTTGCACAAGCTCCCCAAATAGTAGCTACTGATTTCAAGAGAAAGCAGAAGCAGCTTCCCATTCTGATTATCTCCGGGTGGGCCTGGGGTGCACCTGGGGCCCTACGGTCCTGGCTTCTCCACAGGTAAAGGCAACGCATGGCTGGAAATAGATTTTGTTGCTATGCCAAATAAGCAAAGGGGAATAATGAGCATGAACAATTTCTTTTGTTCTGGAAATAGCATGAGAGTTGTATTTTTTTTCCTGGGTTTGGGGACTTCCCAAAGTCAGTACCTTACCCCTCGGGTACATGGGGGTGGGAGCAGTTTACCACAGTCTGAGGGTGCTCAGATCCCTTATAGAAAATGGAACTGTATTTGCATAAAATGGAACTGTATTTGCATATCATGGAGCAACATTTGCATATAACTTATATGCCTCCTCCTGTATACTTTAATCATCTCTAAATGACTTATACTACTGAATACAATGAAAATGGTAGGCAGCTGTTCTTCTGTAGTTCTTAGGGAATAATGACAAAGAGAAAAGGCTGTTTAGTACAGATGAAAAATTTCCTCCAAAATATTTTTGATCCATGGTTGATGCAAAACTCCAGCCTGGTCACACCCACTTCACCTGAAAGGCTTTTTTTTTTTTTTTTTTTTTTTTTTTGGTCTTTTTGAGACAGGGTCTTGCTATGCAGTTCAGGCTGGTCTTGAATTCACTTTGTTACCCAGGCTGGCCTCGAACTCACAGAGATCCTCCTGCGTCAGCCTCCCAAGTACGGGGATTATGGGTGTGTGCAACCCTGCTTGGCTTGTGGGAGGCATTTTTTGAGGCCCCTGCTTTTCTGTTCTCCAACAAGAGAAAAGGAGGGAAAAAAGCAAAGTACTGCTGCCCAAACTGCTCCAGGAAGCCAGACAGTTTCCCAAGATAGAAACACAGAGTGAGACAAAGGGTGGCTGCATAGAGCGCAGCGGGGTGGGCAGGCGGGCACCTGGCAGCTGTCCAGAATGGCCCTCAGCTTCTCCGCGCTCTCTGCGGTCTCCTCCTGCCTCGAGTTGCTCGTCTGGGTCTCCTGCTCCAGGCTCCACTTGTTCTGCTGAAGCTTGATGTTGTCCTCGGTGACCTGGGTGATCCTCTCTATGAGCTGGTGAGAATAAGAAAAACAAAGAGGCAAAGGCTGTCAAGGGCAGACTGGCTCTGGGACAAGGGACTGCAGGGTGGCAATTTAGCAGGCGGTGAGGACCATTGACCTGTGCAGCTCCAAGTGACATCGCTGCTGTCACAAGGACACCTTTCCCCGGGTCAGAGATGGTTCCCTGAGGGTCCTTCTGCATTGGTCGCTGTGAGGGTGGCACACGAACAGGCCGGGTCCCCTGCACCTGTCTGGAGAGCAGCCCGCACGTGGTCTCTTACCTGTGCTCTGACCCAGGGAAAGGCAAGAGTCCTGGAAGACCAGAAAGGTGACCCGTCATCACCGCGGAGGCCCGGCCTCACCGCCACTGCCTCCTCTCCCCAGCAGGAGCAAGCAGGGCACCTGCACCAAGGCGAGGCCGCCCCTTTGCTCACGGGGCTAATAGAGCTTCAACGTGTGGGTCTGGGGGCCAGACGTGAGCCTGCCCAGCTGAACTTGGTTTTCATAGGAACATTTCATGGGAATTTAACTGGCTTTTACTTTAAAAGCCAGGAAATCCCATAAAATCAAAACAAATCTTTATGGTGCAGCAACAGTGTGAAAAATATGTGCCACCAACAAAAACAGAAACATATGCTCCCAGGGTCTGGCATCCAGATCTCCAAAGAAGAGTGCGTTTGTGTCGTTTCCGTTTGCTGTTGATTTCGAGCTTCATTCTGCTGTGACCCCATACGACACAGGGGGTTATTTAAACTCTTTTGTATTTACGTAAGCATGCAAACGCACGGAGATGAATACATTATTGAATAATCAGTGGATCACAGAAGAAAACTGAGAAGAAATACAAAAAGTTCCTAGAACCAAAGGCCAATGGAAGCACCATACAGCAAAACCTATGGGACAGGATCAAAGCGTTTCCAGGAGGCGAGTTTACAGCCATAAATGCACACTTCAAAAGAATACAGCGATCCCCAGTAAATAGCCTAATGATGCAACTGGAGGTCCCAGAGAGAAAAGAACCAAAACTGAAATTAATACAAGGAAAGAAATGAAGATCCGAGTGGAGATTGAAGGAATTGAGACCAAAAAAACAACGCAAAGGATCAGTGAATCCAAGAGTTGGTTTTCTGGACGGATGGGAAGAGATTCAGGGATGTGAAGGGGAAAGGATGGGAATTAAAAGGGATCAAGATTCTACATATATGTATTCTTGATCCTATATATATATATATTCCCCCCAATGAGTGATGAATGTATCTACTGTGTCTTGCAAACACATACTAATAAAAAAAAAGAAAAAAAAAAAAGAGGAAGCAAAGGAACCTCATAGTAAGAAAACCACACGAACCTGCTGGTCAGTGATAGGCTTGTCCGGAAATGGCTTCACTCGTCCATAGGTGGCCTTGATGACCTGGCTTCGGAAATGCTCCAGCTGTGACACAAAAGGGGGTGGTGACAGGTCAGCTGGGGTTTGCGGGGTACAGGCAGAGGAGTGGGTGGCATTTCCATCACGGGCTTTGGGAAAGAAAGTCCCGCATGCCTTAATGGTCATTCTGTGTTATCAAAACCTTCACGCTCCGCAGAAGGAAAGAACTCAGCAGGTTTTAATTACTCTGCAGGCAGCCTGCGCGGCCCAGCCCAGCCCAGGCACATGGCGCCGAGCACACGCATCTCAGGCCATTGGCAGGGCCACTTGCTGCCAATTATCCAATGGGAAGTCGGGGCCTGGAGCTTGTCTATAATTGCTAAGTCGGCACCAGACTGTGAAATAAACATTGAAGCTGTCAGCCCAAGTAAATCATGTCATCAGCACAGGTGCCTGGGAACAGAATGATCTCTCTTCTGCCATTCTGTGTCCTAGACCACAAACGTCCCAAAGACACTGTCCATCATTGCCATCTCTGTATCCCCAGAGCCTTGGACATGGCCTGGGATGGAGGAGTCACTCAGCAAGTGTCCACTGGGTAACTGGATACAGAAACACCTGTTGAGGTCAGGCGCCGCTGTGTCAGTCCCAGTGGCTGGCGTTGGGTGCCTGCCGTGTGCTGGTGTTACAGGGGAAGGTGGGTGGGTTCAGGGCAGGGCCATAGTCAGGGTGCGCAGAATTAAGGCGCTGGACTCCATCTGAAGGCAGAGACAAAGATCCGCTGTCTCTGGGATTGACCTGCGTGGCTGCCCTTGGCTGGCTGTGTTCGTGGTCTGCTAGGAAGACGTGGTCACTAAAGACCAACCCAAAGCCCTGGAGGGATCCAAAGGGCCGCTGAACCAAGGGAGAAGTCAAGGGGTCCAAGACCTAGGAGCTTACAGTGCATGGGAGCTCTGAGCAACTGAGGAGTGAGATGGTGAAGGCTCTAAGGACGAGTCTGAGGTCCCCTGGCCAGAAGCAGATCAGGGTGACAGCAGGCAGCCCCAGGGCAGGTCCCAGCTGACCGAGGAGTTGGCTATTTGGGGAGGCCCTGTGAACGATGGTCACCCAAGGCCACTGTAGGGAGCCACTGCCTGGGACGGAGGGAGGGACGGGCAGGTGCTCCCGGACTGTGGGCTCCGTGTTGGAGTCAGTGGGCTGGGCGGGGCAGGATGTCAGACAGGGCGCGGGGCTGGGCAGGAAGAGCCTGGTGGCAGACAGGGCTGGAGGAGCCTCAGGGTCCTCCCTGGTGACCTCTGCCCAGAGCCATAACGAGGACCTTGGCCCTTGGGCAGGGGGGAAAGGTCATTCCTTGGGTCAGGTGTGTACTGGAGGGTGCAGAGGACCGGGAAGGAGAGAGAGCTGCCCAGGGGTTGTCCAGGTAGCCTGTGACAATGGGCTGGAAGACTTCAGGAGAAATGACACGGGGTGTGTGTGTGTGTGTGTGTGTGTGTGTGTGTGTGTGACAGTGATGCATGTGTACTGAGGAGGCTTGACCCTTGGCCCAATAGTTGGCATTTTTATTTAACTTGTGTGCGCCTCTCATGGGGGCGTGAGGACAAAGCCCTGGTCCCACAGCCTAGTTTACACGGGACAACAGCCAGTGGAAGGGCTTCAGGCATGTGGCTGGAGGGCAGGGGTGTCCTTTGAGGGCTGTGATTCTTATCCTTTAGGGGGTTCACAGCCCTTCTGAGATCCAAAGAGTGACATGGTAGACCCACCCTCCCGGAAATAAAAAGCTCTCTCTCTCTCTTTCACACACACACACACACACACACACACACACACACACGTGTGTGCGCGCGCGTGCACACACGTTCTATGGATCCCTGGAGCTGTCATCACTAGGAGAGGCCCCTGCACAGCACCCAAAGTGGGCCACCTGTGGCGAGCTGTATTCTGAGGGGTAGCTTGAGACGTCAGTCACATCTCTTCTGCATGTTCCGTCCTCGGGGCTGGGCCTTGGGCACTGGGCCATCCACCGGCCATCTTGGGCCAGAGCCTCTGAGAGACGGTGCCTCTGCCCAGCCAGGTCAGGGCTTACTCGGCAGTTTCCCCCTCTCTCTAGCAAGGACTCTGGGCACTGGGGTTCGCTTTATTAAGCAAAGTGTCATTTTCTTGTGGACACTAACGGTGATATCTGCTGGGGTCTCAGGGTACGAAAGATGGTGGTCAAATCAAGACTCAGTGCTAGGGAGAGAGTTGTTGGAGACACCCCCGGGGACCTGGGGCTGGGGCAGGTGTGGGGGCAGGTGTGGGGCCAGGCGGGGCCGCTCGGTCGGGTCTTAGTGAGGAGCCTTCCAGCAGGAGAGAGAGCTCTTCAGCGATGTCCACTGGCCTGGGCAGCCACAGAGACCCCCGGCAGTGAGATTAGGGGAGAGGTAGGCCACACCCACCCTCCTGCCTCAGCCTTCCTCCTCTTCCAACGCACCTGGCTGGCCGCCTGGGGAACGCAGGCCAAGGAAGGGGCTCTGGACCCGCCTACCTGACCTACTGCCCTTTCCAAATTGATCTTAATGAGGCTCTCTCTGTTCCCCATTTCATGCAGCTGAAGCAATTTCCTCCTGGAGTCCTCCTGAAGTTTCTCTTCAACCTGAAAGGACGATGAAAGCACGGGCTCGCTGCTAATGCGGCGGTAATGCACCCTGGGGAACTTCCCCCAGGACGTCTAATGGCCGGGGGCGTCCCAGTGGGGTAGGGACAGCTGCAGCCCCATTGGCAGGGGTCACATGGTGGCACGGGTGGAGGCTGGGGCCCCCTGGTGGACCACGTTCTTCCTCCCCTGGGCTCAGATCATGGCGCTGTCCCTAGCAAGGAGTGCGACATTGGGAGAGTCACTTCACTGGAGGACAAAGAGGCCTGTAAGGTCTTCAGGAGAATGTTTAGAATGGTGCTGGGGCTTGGTCAGGGCCCTGTGCCTGTGTTAGGAATCCAAACTGGGTATCATGGAAACCGGTGGCCAGGAATGTCTGCTATGCAACTTTATTCTAACACCCTGAGGTGCTGGCGATGAGGGCCTCGGGGCGGGTTACACTTGGGTTTACTGTTCTATCTTTTTGTTATTACTGCTTTTCGCAGAGTCAGCAGTGGAAGCTAAGCACCGGCCATGAAGGAACTGCACCCTGCAGAGGAAGGTGCGAAGGGCAGAACCCGGCCTGTTTACGCCCTCACTTGCGGTCTATGCTAGCTGAGCAGGGAGTGCTCGCTGCTGCCCCCTCTTGGCCCTCCTGCAGCCCTGCAGCCTCACAATTCAGTTCTGAACAGTATTTTGTGAGCATCGTCTGAGCCAGGGCTCTGGCACTGCCCTGAAATGAGGCGAACTCGCCCCTGTGAAAGGATTTTGTGTTGAAAGAACCTCACAAACTGTTTCTTAGGGTGCTGGGAGGGGACACAATGTAATAAAAAACCCCAGACAAGCTGGATGTGGTGGCGCATGACTGTAATACCAGCACTCTGGGAGGCTGAGGCAGGAGGATTGTAAGTTTTGAGCCCAGGCTGGGCAGCTTAGTAAATTAGTGAGACCCTGTTTTAAAATGTATAAAAGGAGGTTGGCGGTGTAGCTCAGTGCAAAGTGCAAAAAACAAACAAAATAACACCCAAGCCCAACGCATGTAAGCCCTTCAGAGCTTTCTTCTGAGCACTGTCGGCAGCCAAGAGCTCTGGTATGGACATTAGCTGGAAAAGCCAGCTGGCCTCTCGGGCCTCAGCTCCCCCCATGTGATCCCTCCAGCTTGAGCACACCTGGCTTCTATCTGGCAGGTGTTTCTGAAGGCTGTGGAGCCGGAGGCCGCTGTTGGAGCTGCTCCTTGCTGCTCATCTTAATGCACAGCCTCCCTGGTCCCCAGCCCCACGCCCAGAGCCATTGCCGCTGCCACCCTGCTCCACCTGTCACACTCAGCACGGCCACCCCGCCATCCTATTCCTCCGTCCCTGTGGGAGTAGGACCTTCTCAGCACGTCAGTCCTGGGTTTACTGCGCTCCTGCCTGGCTGGGCACTGAGAAGCCTTGGCCGGTGAGAAGCGCTACTCAGGGCCACCGGGCTGAGCGTTCCACGACGACGTGCAGATGAGTAGGGTCCGTGCCGTCTGGCGGGGTGGCCACTGGCCACATCCGCCCGCTGAACACCTGAAACATGGCTAGAGGCATACTGGGGCTTAGACTGACCTTCTTGCTCAGCAGAGGTTCTGAATTTTAAGTTTTATTTTTAAATAAAAGGTATTTTATTTAAGCAAAGCTATGGAGGAATTGAGTTTTCAATTTTCTTTCTTCTCCAGTTCAGTCACCTTGTGCGCCCAGAGGCGATGCCCCAGCAACCGGACTCAGGAAACCCGGCTTCCGGTCTTGGCACAGCCCCTTCCTTCCCCACTGCGGGGCTTGGGTTTGTCCCTGGCCTCTGATCCTTTATCTCATCCCTCACTCCCTCATCTGTAAAGTAGGCATGCCAGTGTCTAGATCAGACAGCTGATGGGAAGATGGAATGAGATAAACGCCTGGCGTCATGCCTGGAACACGAACAATCATGGCCCTGGCTTCTGCCATTACAATTAATCGCACACTTAATCACATCAATCCCTTGTTCAGAGGCCTTCAGGAGCCTCCCTGCTGCCTCTGCAGTGCAAAGCCCAAGCTCCAAAACTAAGGAAAAACACCAAGCCCAACAAGGTTCCAGAACACAGGTGAATTCCAAACAAGATAAATAAAAGTGAGTCCACGCCTACAGAAATCATGGCAAAACTGCTCTACGCCAAAGGAACAGAAAAATCTTTAAAAACAGCCAGAGGAAAGAAGATCACAGCAGCACAATAGTCAGGTTTAGAGCTTTTACCTCTAAATAGAAACGATGGGGGCTCAGGGGTATAGCTAAGCGGCACAAGCGCCTGCCTGGCAAGCTCTAGGTCCTGAGTTCGATTTCTGGTACCATTAAAATAAATAAACAAACAAATAAATAAATAAATAAACAATGGGCCTGGAAGACAACAGAATGATGTATTTGTCTTAGCCACTTTCTCGGTGCTGCGACACAACACCCGACACCCACAACGTAAAGGAGAGGATTATTGGGCTCACATTTCAGGCCAAGGCATGAACAGCAAGTGGACCGGTCTGGGTGCAGGACAGCCGCTCATCCGTAGCAGCCAGGAAGTGGAGAGGGAAGGGAGGAGCAGGGACAAGAATCCACCCTGCCAGGTCACCATCCCAGGGACCCCTCCAGCCACACCCTGCCTCCTGGCAGCCAGTCAGCTACAGCACCGGGAGTCCAATCACCTTGAAACACAGGAGGCTTTTGGGGCTTCTGTAAATCGTAATAGTACTTAGTGCTATCTATAACATGATGAAGGACACAGTTCAATACTTGGTCAAATCAGGTTTCAAGAATGAAGGTTAAAATAGATATTTTAGACACCGCTCCCCCAAGAGACTCGTCATCAGCAGGGTCACACGGAAGGGCAACACAAAAGCACGGTCTTTTAGAAGGAAAATGATCCTAAGCAGCTGATCAGAGACATAGAAAAGGCACGGTCAGTGTGCAGATATGGACACGGGATGTATAAAGTATTATTACAATTATTAATATTTTATTATGAAATGTTAACATTATTTAGTACGTTAAGATATTAATATAATCAATTATGTCATTTGGGGTTTCAAATGCAAAGTTTAGAAGATGACAACGAGGGCATACAGGTCTGTGCGGGGTAAGTGAAGTTACCCAAAGCATCACTGCCTAAGGTCACTGTGTCATCCAGGAGGAAGGCAGACTCATTGGTGAATACTGGATTTTGGTAAGTTGAAAATGTGTGCTATAATCTTTGGGATCACACTAAAAGAATAGTAAAAGAGTGAAAAACTCAGTAAGTACTGGACTTTGGTAAGTCACAAATGCATGCTATTGTCTTACTATTACTAAAAGGTGTCAAAAAAGTGAAAAATGTCTGAGCTAAATTAGGGGTAAATGAGATGATAAGAAACTATCAACTCAAAAGAAGGCAAGAATGGAGAGAAAAAGGAACAAAGCATAGTTGGTACATTGGGCACTGAGCAAGAAGGTAAATTTAAACCCCAGTACCCCAGGTATTACACTACATGTAAGTGGATTAGAAGACAAAGATTGTGAAATGGGTCTTTGTAAAAACTATGTGCTATTAACAAAAGATACATCTAAACTTAAAGATTGACAGAAACAGTATGAAAAATGACAAAACTCTAATCAAAAGAAAGCTAGACAAGTTGGTGGAGTTGTATTAACGACAGAGTGGACTTTAATGGGAAAACAGTGCTAGAGATGAAGAGGATCATCTCACGAGGGTCAACAGTTTGATTCAGTAGGAAGTATTAAAAAGATAAAGTTATATGCACCTAGTAACATAGCCTCAAAACTTAGAAAGCAAAAAACTGGCAATACTAAAAAAGGAAATACACAAATCTACAATCATGATGGTATTTTTAAAATGCCATTCTTAGTGACTTGACAGAACATGGACAAAAAAATGCCAATAAGATCATTTCTGTTTTGAACATCATTGACAAACCTGACTTAATGGACATATATACAATATTTCACCCAATGAGTACAGAATGTATGTGCCTTTCAAATGTACATGTGAAACAATGATGCCCAATGCAGGTAATAAAGCAAGTCTCAACTAATATCAAAGGGTTGAAATCACATAGGGGATGTTCTCTAACTGCAGAGCAATTAAGCTAGAAGTCAATAAGAAAAGCTAATCAGAAAATCTTCATGTATGTAGAAATTAGGAAATAGACCCATGGGTCAAAGAAGAAATCACAATGGGAAATTGGAAAATAATTTTAATCTGAGTAATAATGAAAATACCACACATTAAGACTTGTGGAATATAGCTAAAGCCTTGTTTAGAGATAAATTTATATCCCAAGGGGCAGTTTGAGTCCATGCTTATGACCACAGCTATTTTAATGAGAAGTTAATTCATTTTCACTGAGAAGGTATTTTACAGAATGAAGTTCATTAAGCCAGTGGTATAGGAGATTTTCTAATGTTTCCATTTCCATTTTTATTTTCTTGAAATTATTTTTATCTGGAAAATTTCTTTTTCTGGGTAAATTTTACAAATATTATTTGATTCACCCACAAGTTTTCTGGTGTCTATCAATTTTTTAAACCAGGCATATAGCTTTGTCATCATGCATTTCATTTTATTTATTTATTTATTTTTTCATCATGCATTTTATTTTGTGACCCTCATTTCTACTAAGGCTTCTTCCTGCCCCCCAGGTTATATTTAGCACATCTAAACATTTTGGAGGATGTTTGGTTCTTCTCTCAAGTTTCAGTCAATATCAAATTTTACTGTGCTTTCCACTATCAGTTATTTTTTGTGTTAGTTATTTCTGTCAAGCCTACTATGTCTGGTCCACTTTTTTTTTTTTGCAAGCTTTAATCAATAAGACTCAGTGTACCATGGTGGCAGGACCTCTTGTCCAGTGTGCATTTTAACTTGTGAAGTGCTATTTGCTTTAGTTTTAGGATTTTCCTGTTTGTTTTAGGATTCTCCTGCCTCAGCTTCCCAGAGTGCTGGGAGTAGCGGGGTGTACCACCATGCCTAGCTATTTTATTTACTTTTATTTAAAATTTTAATAGCTCAGTGTGGCTAGTGTCCACTGTGGTGGACAGGACAAGTCTACTGTCCCTAAGTAAGGTTTTTTTTTCCCCCCAGAGTGGGGAGGGATATGAAAATAAGCAACAGGAAACCCACTAGGATCTGGAGGTGGGGGTGGGTCTCAGTAAGGAAAAAGCAAGTAGTGTTGGAAGGCAGTGTCTAGAGTTGTGGTTACACACAGGAGCTTTGGAGTCAGCTCTCGAATAAAGTCCTGCAGTGTCTGCTTTATCTATGTGAACTTCTTTATCTACTTCATGAACAAAGGTGATCGCCTTTGTCAGGATAGTTGGGGTAAATACCAGCCTCGACCACACGGGGTCGCTGTGGGGGAGCGGGCAGGAGCCTGGGCTGGGGGAAGCTGCTAGGTCCCCAGGGCGCCACCTACCTTGCTCTTTTCCCGCAGAGTCCTGGAGATGGTGTTCTGCTCAGAACAGCTCTTCCTCAGCTCCTCCCTGAGCTTCTTTATTTCTTTCTCCATATCTTGGATTTGCTGGAAAAGTTCCAACCACAGTGAAGTCAGCTTCCCTGGAGCACAGCAGACTCTGTGAAGGCCAGGGTCCTTGGAACCCCCTCTCACCAGCTGGTAAGGGGAAACTGAGCCTTATTCACTTCCTTCCCCCTGTGGATTCCACCTCTGTAGGCAAAGCAGACTCCCCCCACCATGAATACATTCAAGTGCCGAGTGAAGGAAAATACACGTAGCTTCTTTGGAAATCAGCACAGGTGCTGGATTAGACCCTACGAACTACCCATAAAGTCATGAGAGTCCCTTCTTTCTGGGAGATAAATAGTAAAAAATAGTACTGGACATGGAACCTGGGGCTTCCACATGCCAGGCAAGCACTCTACCCCTGAGCTTCACCCCGAGACCTTTTCATATTTGATTTTGAGGAAGAGTCTCACTGAGTTGCCCAGGCTGGCCTCAGAGAAGCGGGGATTACACGCACAAGTCCCTGCCCTCGGGTTGGGGTATGTTTTTGAGAGTGACCTCAATAAGGGCCAACTATTTGAGGAAATGAAAATTTTCCTTTTTCTGCAGAGGCAGAGAGAGGAACTGTCCGGGCATGAGAAGAACAGGCTTCCTCCTTGCATTCAGGGTGCGGTGCTTCCCAAGAAATGGAAGAGCACAGCTGGAGAGATACGTGTATGTATGAAGGGATCGGGCAGTGTGGGGAACAAAGATTTTATTTTAGTTTTCATTATTATTACTAGTATTGGTTTTTTGAGACAGGGTTTCTCTATGTTATTCAGGCTACCCTTGAACTCACCATGGAGCCCAGGCTGGCCTTGTACTTGTGGTGATCCTCCTGCCTCAGCCTCCTGAGGGCTGAGATTATAGGTGTGCACTACCACACCTGGCTCAAACACTTCAGTACAGGTCACATTTTCCTCGTGTTTATGGTTGCCTTTGGTATAAGGTGAGTGATAACTCTGGACTTCGTTTTTTTATGATTTGGTGTGACATTGATGCCAGTGCCAAAGTCCTTGCGGAAGGAGTTTGTGCCTGCTGCAGTGCCCATGGCTCTGCTCACACAGATGGGGGAAGAGAAGCTTGGGAACACCAGGGCCAGGGGGAGGAAGCAGGGTGATTTTTTTTTTTTTGGTGCCAGGAGTCGAACTCAGGACCTTGTGCTTCCTAGGCAAGGTATACCGGGTATTTGGAATTGTTTGCTGGGTTGGAATCCACCTCATGTTTGCTCTGAGCCATGCACACACTGTGCCACTGAGCTATATCCCCAGCCTCAGCAGGGTGAAATTCGAGCAGCTCCTATCCCCACCACTCTCCCTGTCCTTGCCCAGCCCTGGGGGAACCCATGAGGGAGACAGCGAACTCAACCCAGCCAGAGTGCATCAGGCGTCCCTTTGTTGGGGTAGAGGAGGCAGCGGCCACAGGATCCTAAGACTAGGTTTGAGAACAGACACAAAGCGCCTGAGCCTTCTGCAGGGACGGCCATGGTTCCCACCAGGGCGCCAGGGTCAAGGTCTAACTTCCTGTGTGTGCCTGTGAGTCAGGAGGTCCAACTCACGGTTTTGCAGCATTTTAATTCCTTCTCCTGGGATTCCCTGTGCTCCTTCTGGGCACCTTCCTTTTTTAACTCTTCTTTGAGGGCCGAGCACTGTGCGGGGGGTGGGGGGGAAGGACAGCAAAGAAAGAGCCACTGTTGCAGGCCGTGCATGGGGAGCAGAGCGGTTCCAGGGTCCCTTTTTGGCCCCAGAGCGTTTCCCAAGGTTCTGCTCACACACAGATGCCCAAAGGCTTTTAGACCCGCGTTCTCTACTCTGAAGGTGGTAACGGACAAGGGACGCCCCTGTGATCATCTGCGTAAGCAGCAGGGGCCATTCTACTCTAATAGGAAGCCTGGCCACGGAAATGCATGTGTATAGGCGGGCTTGTTGCTAGATTAAAGAAACACGTTTATGCCAGGTATTAGGAAATGTTTGCTGGGTTGGGGTCCATCTTGTGCTAGCTCTGAAAAGCTGCAAAGAATGTGCTCACCTGTTTCTGACTTTTGTAGGGGATATTTTAGGCGTTGGCTCACCCTGAGCTACCTTCTTATGCCCTGGGCACTGGGTCCAGCCTCCCGGAGGCAATGACATTTAAAATCAGGGCCCAAGATCAATGAAATGAGTGTGTCACATCACTGCAACAAGACACAGAGCCCCAGGACACTCACTCTGGAGCCCAGCGCCTCCAGCTGGTGCTCTTTTTCTTTGTTCTGATTCTTTAGTTGATTTACTTCCTCTTTTAGCTGTTGAACTTGCTCAGTCCGTGCTAACATGTCTTTTTGCAAAGATGTCACTTTCTCTGTTTGAAAAAAAAAAAAAAAAAAAAAAGATCAAGAGGCAGTGGGAACGCTGCCATCATCCCAGCTGCTATCAGCGAGCTTGAGGACAACGCTGGCCCTGAGGGAGGAGCTGTCTCTGGTCATCCCAGAGACTGGAACAGGACTGAGACCGACATCCACAGACCGTCGCCGGAAGTCTCAGGGAGAATCGGAAGTCAGTGGTGTCGCCGTGGGTGCTGCCTACAGGAGCCCTCGTGGGTGCAGGTCTCTCAGGGTCAACAAGAGGGAAACGCGTTGGGCTGGGGAGCAGAGGCCTGGCAGCGCAGAGGCCAAGAAGGACGAGGAGGGCACCTTGGGGCTGCCAGCGTATCCTGGATGCTAGGATGAGGTGGGTGGGTGGATTCACTCTCATCCTGGTTTGGAACCCATCTCTACCACATATTGAGCTAAGAAGTGGTCTGAAATCTCAGCTGCCATGGCCTGAGGACCCTCAAGCAGCCTTAGGGAAAGGCCCTCAAAGTGGTTACTCAGATAACCAGATACAGGCATGTAGGATTGACCAAACAATTAAACATTAGCTGTTCCTTTCAATAAACCAACAGAAATTAGTAGTATGATTATCTCAGCTTTCTTGTGTATATATATATTTTCCCTTTGCTCCTTTCTTTCTTTTCTCTTTTCCCTCGTCCCTGTTGTTCTTTCCTTTAAGCAGTGTCTTTCTCTTTCACAATATCTATTGTACCTTTCAGATTTTATTTACTCCTTCAGGTTCTTACACTAGGGAGGCAATATGATGTTTACACATGTGAGTCTGATTTATTTCACTTATGAGTATAGTCTCCAGTTGCATCCATTTGCCTATACAAGCTTCGAGTTTATCTTTTTTATAGCTGAGTAATACTCCATTGTATAAAAATGCCACATCTTTTGTATCCATTCCTCAGTTGATGAGCATTTGGGTTGTTTCCAAGATTTAGCTATTACAAATTTCTCTGCTATAAACGTGGGTGCACATATATCGCTGTGGTATGTTTTCAGTTCTTCTGGAAAAGTATCCAAAAGGGAATAAAATACTAGCTAATAGAATGCAGCAAATCATCAAGAAGGTTGTACACCATGACCAAGTGGGACTCATCCCAGGAATGCAGGGATGGTTCAATATACACAAATCAATACATATAATACAGCACATCAACAGAGCCAAAGACAAGAATCACATGATCATCTCAATAGATGCAGAAAAAGCTTTTGACAAAGTCCAGCACTCACTCACGATAAAAACCCTACAGCAAATCAGAATAGATGGACTTTACCTCAATCTGATAAAAGCCACCTATGACAAACTATCATCTTGACTGCAGCCTTTGTGACATCCTGAGCCAGAACCAAGTTTTTGAATCACAGAAACTGAGTGAGGTCATGAGTATCTGTTGTTTTATCCACTGAATTTTGGGACTACACTAATAACTAATATGCTATTATATTATTTTGAGGAAAAGTGGAAAGATGGGTGTGGACACACTATGGTGTCAGATCATTTCATATGGCTCTTTCTTGGAAAAACATTCATCCCATTTTTGGGGGATGTGGTATTAACCAAACAGGTTTGTGTAATAAGGAGAATTCATTATAAAAATGAGCTTTGTTCCAGGACATAGTTTCTTAGATACAGGCTGACTTCTTTGGGGCATGCCTTTAAACTTTGTTAGGCGGGACCACAGTGGCCTTCAGTCTAGAGCTAAACTAACTGAACCCAGGACCTTTGCACTGAGCTACATTTCCAGCCCTTTTTCATTTTGTATTTTGAAACAGGGTCTTGCTAAGTTGCCCAGGCTTGGCTCAAACTTGTGATCCTCCTGCCTCAGCCTCTCAGAGAGGTGGGATTACAGGTGCATGCTACTAAACCTGGCTGAGCATAGCAATCTTGATGGTGGCTCCAGCGCCTAGCACAGTGCCTGGTACCTGGTGGGTGCCCAGTAAATGTGCTGGCTGGATCCAGGCTAAGTACTGCTGTCCCTCGCAAGGGTGGGTCAGGAGCTGGCTGCCTCCTACCCAAGCTCTTAGCATCAAACTCCCTCTGCTGATCAGTCAGCAAAACATCTTCCCTGGGGCCCAAGAACAGTAGGAGAGTGGGTAAGATGCAGTCAGTGATTCGTCACTTTGCTCACTCTAGTTTGCATCTGGGTGCTAGGACCACCCAGCCACACGGTGTCCTGTGCTCTTCCTCCCATGGTCAGTGTTCAGCCAGCCTCTGGCTAAGAGAGCACGTTTGCTCACACAGTGCTGTCGGGCTGACTTTGAGTCCAGCCCACACTTGGAAATGGCAGCTAAACTTACCCCCAAAATAAACTTTTTTTTTTTTGGTACTGGGGATCGAACTCAGGACCTTGTGCTTGGCAGGCAGGCGCTTGTGCTGCTGAGCTATTTCCCCAGCCCAAGGATAAACTCTTACTCACTGATGGTGCTGCCTACAGGGCCACACTGAGAAGAACTCAAGACTCTGTCCACATTTGGGGAACAAAAGCACAGTGATCGATTGGTGATGTCTGCCCGGGCCACAGACTTAGCGCTGGAGGGGCAGTACTAGGGCCCAGCTCCCACACTGCTCACCTGCTGTGATGGCGTTGTCCCTCTTCAAGTTCTCCCCCTCAGTCTTCAGGGATGCGATCTCTGAGTTCCGCTCAGACAGGGTCTGGCACAGCACCTGGCTGTAGCCCTTCTGAAGGGCGCTGATCTGTGGGAAGAGGCAGCACACAGTCAGAGGACACTGGTTCCGCTGAGCCATCTAGTTCCTTCCCAAAGCTGCCCAGAGATTCTGCCTGTTCTTTGGCTGGGGCATTGGAGAAGCTGTGAGTTTTTGTTTTAATGAGTAGAAGGGGCGGGGGAGGGCCTGTTCCTTCAGGGGCCACTTTTTCCTTTGTAACCTGAGACACTCAGTCATCGACAGTCCAGCCTCAGTTTCCCATCAGCCAGCATGGACTGGGCACGGAGCAAAGTTCCAGATGTATCTCACGGAACATTCTAGAACCTTCGAGGGCCTCTTACAGACGCATCTCCCTCAGTGGAGCTTCACAGCGTCCCAGGATGATGTCCCCGTGACTGTCCCTGTTTTGCAAGTGAGGACAGCAAGACTCAGAGGGGTGGGGTCGTTGCTTAGGATACCAGAGGGTCAGAGGGGAAGTTCTGACCCAAATCCAGACTTTAGGTGCCTGGTTCCAGGTCCTTCCACCCTAGCATATGGCTTTAGCGTCCGGCACGAAGAGCTGGCAGCTGCAACGCATAGCGTGGGCTCTAGAGCCAGACCACCACCCTCTAATTCTACCTCGGCTGCCTCGCAGTTGTGTGAATGACAGGAGCACGTTAAACTCAGCCTCTCTTTTACACTCTGTGAATGCATTCGTGTCCTGATCTCACAGGATTGTTGAAAGTATCTGAAGACGTTAGCGTACCTGAAAGTGCATGACATAGATACTAGCTAGGATTGTTCCACTGTGTGTTTTAGCTCTAGCCTCTCTTGCCTATCTGGGGAAGAAGGAAAGATTGATATTTTTGTGTGCATTTGTAAATCGTGTCTAGACTCATTGAAGCCCCAGTGCGGTTGCTGTTGAGAGGAAGCGCAAGCGTCCCTGTTAATTTCGTCACCTCCTAAGCAAGGTAGGAACCCGATGGGGGCGGGGAGCAAGCTCAGATAACGTGGATTCTCGTACCTTGCCACCAGGTGGCGCTCGTAGTCCTTGTTCCTGCTTTCTGTACCTGAAATTCGTGATTATTTCTTGATGGTAGAATTAACTGGTTGGACAGTTGACTGAACTCATTTCACACATCGTCATGGTTTAGAGTCTATGACACTCGAGGAGGTCCCACTTTATTTTTCTCGGGGGCACCCGAGACCCGAAAGAAGAGGTGCTGGGAGACAGAGGCCACAAGCTGCTGTCTCTTCCCCCGCCTTTTTTTTTTGTGGTACTGGGAATCGAACCCTGAACCTTGTGCTTGCCAGGCAGACACTATGCCACTGAGCTATCTCCCCAGCCCCTGGCTACTGTCTTCCACCTGCCCGAAGTCTATACATTGCATATTTGTTTTACAAGATTTGAGTGAAAAGAATTCTTCCTGCTCTCTGTTAGGGAAATAAATGCAACTTTCCCTTGAAAGGTACTTGGGATGTATCTTTTTAAAATGTTGTTAGTCCTTAGCTTGATGCTTTTGTTTGCCTGGTATCCCAGGCAAGGCATGAAAGACAGTCTTAGAGAAATGATGTCTCCTAAAGATTTCACTGCTGCCTGACAGATATAAAATATTTCAATATAAGTATTATCAGCGCTTTAGGATTTCAGACTGTGGAGCCACTCCAAAGAGTTTTCAAACCTTTTTGTTACTTTCATTACCAAAATAAATACCCATATTGTCTATAATTGGCATAAATCCCAGGATGTTTATTGCCTGTTATGCTGTGTAATAAAGTGGGCATCGGATCATAAGAAAGTTAATAGTGCTAGGAAGAGTGATTGCTTCGAGATAATAACCTGTCTGCTAATTAGCACGGGTGGCATAGACTACATGGAGGTGAGCGTTTCCTAGGGGTACTGTAGCAGATCGAAGATCTTTGAGAGCAAATCATTACGTACATTCTTTCTGGGGACTGGGGAGAATATATAAAGTAATCAGAACAATAAATCAACCTGCCACATGGCTTACGCTGCTAGCTGGGTGTTCGGGTGACAGTAGAATATTTACGGACCTATAATGTGAGCAGACAAAATTTGATTTGGAGACAAATCAACAGCATCCTCTAGCTCAGAGATGTTATGCTATAAAATATCCCGTGTGGAGGGAGAAGGCAACAGGGTGATAAATCAGAGTAATTATTTCTGGATGATTCCTGGGTGAGAAACAATTTTCCAGACATTGCTGGCCACTTTAAATAGTACTCAGACTGTGACCTGCTGACACAGACGTAAAGATCTGGGAGGTTCATTCACCCTTGTGCATGGACCTGGGCAAGATGTGGCTCAGGAAGGCTCTGAAGTGGGAGGATGACTGGAAAGAATTTTCTCCAGCTAATTGCAAAATGGGGCTCAGATCAACAAGAAGGTGCTCGTGGATGAGTCAGCTCCATTGTCAAGGCAGCTGTCTGCTTTCTCAGTTACCTGAGGACATGCTACTTTCATTGTCCTTTCAGAAATAAGCCCCCCAAAGGTCATTCAATTTTGAAAAATATTAGAGCATCTACTTGTTTGTTTATTCTGTTTTCTTCACTGGGATGTGTATTAGTCTGCCTTCTGTTGCTGTAACAAGATACCTGTGATACTCATTTTACAAGGAGGAACG